TATCTACTTAAATTTTTCCCTCAGTATCTTTTAGCTGTATTTTATGATTTATGACATTCATAGTTTTTTAGTTTGTATAATTAATTATTAATTATATAAATAAATGCTTCAGGAAAATTATTTGGAGACATATACTTACTGCTTTGGCTTGCTTATTATTTTATGCTCGCAAATTGTGCAGATTCATAGGTATCTATGTATTTTTTATTTTTTATCGATGCGAGATAAAACGATACGAGCCGTGAGGACGCACATTAAGTTTGTTTTAATAATTGACTTCACGCTAAATAATGAACACAATATAATAGTAAATATGAAACATTTTCAAATTTTTCAATTCAATAGGATAGTCTCTGTATTACATTTACCCGACAAGTGTACAATATGCATATGCCTATTATAAAAATAAGTTATAAAACATATAAAACTTATCGCTGCAAGTCTTCAAATACATCGATACTCTTTCTCAATGGTTCACAAATTGGAAAATTAAAATCAACGAATTGAAGTCTTCCTTTGACACATTTACGCACTCAGGCCCCATAACACCCCTCCTGTAATAATAAACAACACTATTATCATTTATCTCTCACTCAAATGAAGTGAAATATCTTGGGTTGATATTCGACAAATGTTTAACATAGTCGTCTCATCTCAATGACAAATGAAAAAAACCTTAATTTAAGACTTCGTCTACTAAGGCCACTTCTTTGCTCAATAACCTAGCATTACCCATTAAACTCATACAGTCATACCGTATATAACTCTCCTATAGCCTCTCTGGGTGCACGGAGTAGTAATATGGGTTCTGCCAAAATATCAAATAAGAGAACTATCCAAGTCTTCGAGAATATCTATTGTCGCATCCTGGTATATCTCCAACAATGTAATCAACTCTGACCTGAAAATCTGCTCTGTCAATGAAACTGCTACCCTAGGGTAAACGTCCCGTTTAAAATGGGATTGTCCCTTTTTTGATCATCATGTTCCATTGTCCGACAAACTCAGAACGGGACGCTTTTTATCCCGTTTTTAAAAAATGATATCGTTTTACTCCTGTTATTTCCATATTATAAAATAATGTTTGTAAAAAAAATATCAATGTATTAAAAAAATATAAAACAATTTTAAAAAGAGTAACATATTATAATTATTATTTATTGATAATTATTTTATTATTTTAATAAATTTTAACTTAAATGTAATTGGAAAAAATAAATAATTATTATTTTAATAAAAAATTGTTTGTCCCGTTTTCTATTTTTACAAAAATGGTGACTCTATAACTACCCTATACTACAAACGCTTCCATGTAAAACTACAATCCAACCCCAACCAACTCATCAGAGACCTTGCCATACCAGTAATACCCGGAAACCCAACCAGGCGATTCAAGCAAAACTGGTGCCGTGGTTTAAAAATTGCATAAATTTTTGTAAATAATTTGTATCAAACAATAAACTATACAAATTTATAAGTATTATAAATTGTAAATGTAAACGTAAAATCATTAGTAGTCTCAAGTGTGAGATTTCCTATAATGCCACCTATTCATTCTTAGTTTTTTTCATTTTTCATATGTAATTACTTATTGTATACCTGTATAGATTGTAATATTTTCAAAATAAAGTCATGTTTAAAAATATATAAAAACATTTAAAAATAACGTCTACAACATTTAAAACGATTATTTTGTTAATACTCATAAGCACTATTTATAATTAGGGCTAGGGACTTAATGCTCTAAAAACCTTTAAATATGCAAAAATGTTAAAATATGCTCTTAAAAATATTTTATTAACCATTAAAAAAACAAAGATTATAATTTATTTATTATTAAATAAGGCATTTTTAATTTAAGTATCGCGAAAAAAACTATACCTAATTTAGAATATAATACTAACTACATAGTAATTTAATAATACATAACGCCAGACGAAAATACATTAAAGCAATAGACGAATAGACATCAAATGACCGTAATCGGCGTATTCCTTATCCTTCGATTTTATGTTTTTCACAACACATGAATAATTGAGAAAACACACAGTTGATAGATTATTTTTTCATTTTAATCTATTTTTATCAATTTCTAGAAAATAATATTAATACCAATTGTATGATACGTATAAATATTATTCTCTGTCACGTATTGTTTTATTTATTTTTTTAACAAAATATGTAAAATATGTACCTACTTAAATTACAAAATAACAAAATATGCACTTTTTTTCTTAATAGTAAAAAAAGCTAAATATACAAAATAAAAATGATAACTTTAAACTTCTAGTAATATGAAACACTTTTCTATATTACTAAAGTATTAGGTATGTTTTGAATTATTGAAAAACATGCAAACTTCTAGAAATCCCTAGCGACCTTAGCCTTAGTTATAGTAAACTTGTTTATTATACTTACCAATAATTTACTAGGTAAACTTATAAATGCACACACAAATACAATAAATATAGACTATAGTAGGTACAATGTAATATGCTAATTTTCGGAAATCATTTAATAAATTAATTTAAATAGTAGATAATATACTGCTAGTGTCACTAGTTAGAATATAAATAAATAGTATGGTTATTTGATAAGTAAATCAATTAGTAGTTTAAAGTGGCACTGTGGCACTAGACAAGCTTATTAATTACGAAAAGTACTTTCGAAGATGTGAAGGGTAAATAACTGATATCACAGGGAAGGTCATACTATTTAAACTATAATAATTTTTATGGTCCATATATAGTGATTTATATTTCAATTTAAATGTATTTAGTTACATACTTACATATACCACTGGCAATCGCCTAATATCTTAGATCTAACCTATGCATTGTACGTTTAAATAACAGATCACAGATGTTTACAATATTATATAATTAATGTTCTGTAATTAATACTTAATCTCTTTTAAGATTTGTGTAAATTCATTGAACCACTCGCTTTACCCACTGTATCGACACAATATTTTAATTAAAATTATAATGTTCTGCATAAAAAAAAAATTTGTGAAAGTATCTGTAAGGATAAGTATCTCTATCAGTCTCATACAATAAAAAAATATAGAATTTCAATAGCATTGTTCCAGGTGGCAGGTATAATAATAAAATTGGCTAATAGGTTATACAATCATATATATGAGCACAAATTATACAGTCGTATAGAAATTCTAAATGGTTTTTGTTTAAGTGCAGAAGGACAGAAGAAGTGTAATAATTAATAATTATATTAAAATGTATTAATGTAATACATACGAACTATGAATTAAGGTATAAGAATAGAATATACATACACCAAAAGTATTAAGGAGTATATTTGTATTAAATTTTGAGCTTTGGCAGGTCGCTCCGGTGCAGAGAAAATGCCGAGGCTCTTTAAATAAAATATTATTACGTTACTTATATATATATATATATATTTATTATTAAAAACAAGTGTATTATTAATATTACGACATATATTATTTTTTATAAAATTCAAAATAAATCTTTAGCTTTTGAAATAATCCATGTAAATGCATTATTCAATCTCGTCAACATTATCTACAATGTCATGATGATATTATTTTGATATCTATTTTTTGGAGAACCCCTACTGACTCTACTATTCTAATTTCTAAAGCGACTGGGCAGTGAGTCTCATCAGCAAATATACCGTCTAAACCGGCTGTTCATACAATATCGGTCACTATAATTATACTTGCCAGAAATGTACCTATTGATGATAAATAATAATATTGTCGTTGGTGCAGTTTAGTGATGACTGATGACTGATGAGTTGTCTCATCGATGCGCGAGTGTTGCGACGATTCAAAATGATTCATCACGACCAGACAAAAAAAAAAAAAACAACCATAATAACATTATGTAACCTAGGTACATTGTACATATATGCGTTACCTATTAAGATTATAGATTTTAACCATATCATATGGAAAAATAAATAGTAATAAGAGAAGTCACGATAAAAACTGATACGACATCATCCGATATTAACCACTGTTGTCGGTAAATCAAAGCCTATCCTATAAGCACTATCCACATTGATTTTTTTCCACGGTATTAATAAAATACCAAAGTGTACGAGCTCATCTCGATAATGATAATAAATCAAATCCGGATTTGTATACATTTTCGTGTTAAATTTTCAGTGAAAGTAAAAACGATTTTTTTACCAGAGAATGTATGGAAACTAAATAGTAAATAATGCGTACAAACGTATTTTTTTGGGGATGACATGTTGAGAAAAAAAAGGTACGTGTTTTTGTATAAAATACCCGAAACCTACGCCTACCTATTTACTATTGTCTATTTGTCACTTATATTGGGCCGTTTAGGCCACATTTTCCGTTTGTCTCATCGGTTTTCCTATAACGATAATTATTCCTCAATTACTCGTAACTTGTAAGTTAAACGTTTAGTCTTCTTGTTATATCTATTAAGACGATGGACTGTGTTGTACAATAAAGTAGAGCACGCCATTTCTCACCAGGTTTCACCGCGGTTTTCATACATGGATAAAACGACCGACGAAAAACGATCGCACGGATACGAATCGTCATCGTATCGGATGAAAGCGTGGTTATTTTATTTATTTTTATTTTTTTATATCTCAAGAGCACGTTCAATTCGTCTTTGTAGAAGCGCGGAGGGGGGGTCCGAGACACAAATGTATCGTGTTTTTGTTGGTTTTCGGTGCCGGAGAATCTGGATTTTGGACTCAAAGTGGATAACGCGTAAATGCGTAATCGCGATCGCAAATTCGTAACAGCTATATTATCGTTTAATGTCTTTCTGGCACGGCGGCGTGACGACCGATTGTCCCGACGGTCCGCGCAACCGCAATGGGCGTCTGTCTCGGCGCTAGTATAGTTATCGCAGTACGCGGGGCGGTGATGACTTATTTTTTTTACAAAAATATCTTTATAGGTAGGTACACTAGGCACACCACACGCGCTACACGTGACGTCTGTACTGAATATTCAGTTTAAATCCAGTGTACACGAGGGCGGCCCGCGACAGCAGCTGTTCGCCGTTTGCGTAACAGTGTTCTGTATTTATTATTTTGTTGTCGCCGCCGTCCGCGTGAGGACCGATCTCGTTCGCTCTCACAGTCCGCAGGTCTAGTCGCGCTCGTGCAGTTCGCCCGCGCCCGTCTGTCAACGTCCGTGCGTGCCCGTCGATACGGTAATAGAATATTATCGTGTAAACGTAAGTTTTTTTTTAATAATATATTACGTACTGCAGTATACACACACACACACATTTATCTCTGTATTATTTACATAAATAATAAAACAACGTGGTATATTGTGTGATATGACGAGTATTCGTTTTTACCATAGAACTATTATCGTACCACGTGCATTTTTTTTTTTAGAAAAAAAATTCAATATTTTTCTCTACCATAACTATACACAAATATTCAAATAATTAGTAATAAACCACTGGGTTTTACAGAGTTTTTATGCATACCCAAGTAATATTTCTTCGAGTGCGAGATCGAATTTTATTAAATCCACGTCCAAGAACTAATTACATAATATATTGTACCTTGGCATTGAGTAGGAATATCCAGCAAACGTATTGAGAATTTTTAATTTTTACATTTTATTAATGTTTATCTTGATTATCTTCTTGGTACTTAATATTTAAACGGTAAAACGTCAACCTGATAATTATTTTGTGTTTCAATTTAAAAACAATCATCATGATTTTTTATTATTTTTAAATTTAAATCATAAAATTAGTCATTTCGGAATGTAGTAGATTTTGAAAAATGTTAATTATAGGAGAGAATAATATATTTGATAAAAACCAACGATTCAATAGGTTTAACCGTATAGGTAATTTTAATATTATTTTTATTATTGGAGCGCCGATTTATATACATTAAAAACCAATCAAATATGCGCAATAAAATGCTCAAATATACATGAAAAATTAACTATTTACTATGAATATTTAATATAATAATAAATTTAAAACTATGACTCAAAATTATTAACTAGAATAGCTATATCTATATATTACTTAATTAAAATAATCTAGTTGTCACGAAGTTTAAAATATGATGGCCAATAGTCACAATATATTATAAAAAACATTAAAAACAATAAATATTTAAGAAAACTGATTTTTTTAATGAAAATTGGATATACTAATGAATTAAAATATTAATGTAGAGATTAAATGAATTATAATTAATCTAATATTTATATAATAAAATAATTTAAAAATATTAAATTTAACGGTTTTAAAAAAAACTTTTAAAAAAAATTCAAAATGTTTAAACTTTAATTATAAAATGACGACTTATTCTATGTATAAAAGAAAATAAGGCTTCATTTCATAAATCAATCCACTTTTGTGTAGTAGTGTTTCAATTTGAAATCAAAGAAGTGCGTATTTCTGTGTCAAAATAATACTATAGGTACCCACGGGCTATGATGCTATAATATATTTAAATATATTTTATGCACAGACAAAACTCTTTGATTTAATTTTTTAATTTTTATTATTTTCTAAATATATTTTAATCTGAATATATAATAAATATCTTATAAATTATACAAATTCTCGTGATAATTGTTTAATTAATGGTCTTTAAATTTCCATTATGGGATACTTTTTATTCAACAAATTCAAATTTATAAATTAAGACGTTAAATTTGGTCAAATTATAGGAAGTAATAATTAGTAGGAATATATTGTGTACAAAAAAAAGTGAAAGTATTGGTATAGTAATAGTATTACCTACTCAACGAGGAAACCGTTTTAAAATACTATCAGTTGTATGCCAGAAAGGAAAGTAAAAGTATTATCCATGTGTTTTATACGTAATGTATTATTCAGATGAAATTTGACTTACCTAATATATTGTAAGGAATACACAATATATATATTTAAAGTGATTAATAAAAAACTGCAGACAATATAAGATAAATATCCAACCAATTTTAATCAGTTTATCTAAAATTCTTTTTATAACAAACCAGAAGTGATGGATTGAAATAGTTCAGTGGGAATTTACGTTTTCAGATCTAATAGAGGATCTAATTTTCACATACACTTGTCTTATCTCTTCGTTAAAGCATCTGAATTAACTGTAGATGATACGGTTGCATAACCACCGGCACCTAAAAAATATGAAGATTTGTCACTTTACTACTGGCTTCCCAGGTCACTTGAAATTACTATGTGTAACTTATTTTTGGAATTATATGAAAAGAGCATGTATTCAAATTACTACTGCCGTAGAATTTGGAATAAATTAAAACGAGAATCGCCGAAGTATGTCAATAATTTATTGTTATTGAGTTAGAGAGTGATTAGGAATAACTGGAATATCAGTTGAATATCATAAAGTTACTACTTATTCGAATTTAACCACTTTAGATAATGTGAGAAATAAGTAAAATTAATAAAAGCTGCTTTTGGATTTAAAAGTTTGGTAATAAAGCTCTTTGAAACTCCGATATCAATTTTATTACACCTTTTATAATTCAAAATTATATTCCAACACATTTTGTTCAAACTTATTACATTTCTGTATACCCATTGTTTGTAATAAATACAAAATGTGAAAGTCGTTAAAACTTATAATACTTATTTAATATTATCACATGTTAATTTTCCATATAGACACTCATCTCACTTTCCTCACCTAGGCACAGTGAGTGGTGTATAATATATAATATATTTGAAAGTGCTGTTAAGTTTTTATTCGACAAACAATATTATGTGAACAAAGCCTAGCTGATGTCGCAATTTCTGAGATTGTTTAAACTTTTTTTTGTAATTTAAGATATCTATGTCTATAGATTCTCCTTAAACTTAATAACATTTCTGAAACAATTTAGATACATTTAACAGGTCACTTCTGTAAAATTTTACAAAACTATAAATATAGGTATGTTGGCATGTATAACGAAAATTTAAGGGATTTTTTATTATTAAAAAAACTCTGGTAGGAGAACTAATAAGTAAAATAAAAAATAATTACTTAACTTAAAACTTAAATATTTTATGCATACAGTACATAAAACAGTTGCCTATGCAGTTCTTGAGTACAGGCACTCAGCATTAATTATTCACACCACAACTCACGAAATAGGTATACAAAATATTGTATATTTAATATAGGTCCTATATAAAGACAATTATCGGTAATACTTCGATATATGTGTGTATACACAATATAATTGCATATTATTTTTTGAACATAAAATAGTAAATACACATATAATACTTCAAAAAAAAAAAAATGTAGATAACCATCGTTAATGCATAAATAATTAAACATCCTTAGACTAGATTATAAGTATAAAATACGATTTAACTTAACCCTTACAGTTATTGTTCCTATTCTTAAAAAGTTATATATATGTATAAATATTTACACATTAATATTTATTGTTTGAAAATCAAATTTAAATTTATCATTTATATGCATGACCTTTTTAAATTGAATTCAAAGATTGTGATGGATATTCATCGTGAATTATTTACAACATTTTTAGTAGTTTGTGCTCATACCTTATACGTCATACTCTTATACTACTTAAGTTTTGAATTTTGATCTTCAATTTTAGTGATTATTTTCGAATCACCTATATAGAATACAGATTATAAATAAAAATAAAAACTCACATTTATTTATTCAGACAGCGTGAGAGGTAATAAAATCCGGTTTAAAAATTTAAAAATATTTTAAATTGAACATAAAATTCTGACTCCCATTTGCAATTTTATTTAAAAATAGGTAATTACAATAAAGTGCTTTAATCTACCTAATTTAGATATCAATTTGTATATATCTATATTTGCATACAAACAACACTAATTAATAATTTCATCACTCAATTGGTCATCATCTTGAACATGTTTAGGTAATCAGATGATCTACTACGCATTTATTTTTATCTTATTTACTTAATTAACTCGAACAATTTATCGATGTATAGAGGCCATTTGTAGATTGAATACATAAAAACAGGTAGAATAAATTAAATTATATTATGATTTTTATAATCATTACCTATATATTATTACTTTTTTTCTTTAAATCTACAACTTATTGAAGATATTATTATTTTTAAGTAGGAATTATTTAAATTATATTTTTTGAAAATTAATTATTTTAAACATAATTAATTAGAGATATTTAAAAAAATAACTTCATACCATAACAATTTAATAATAATTTATTTGTACTTTGTAGCTTCTATGATATTATTAGGCTCTGTGAAATTTTTCAGTATGATTCTTTCTGTAATTATTATTTATTAGTTATTAAATAACATGGGGTTTATATCTGGTTAGATTTTTCTGTTTACCGATGAAAATGTATTTGATTTACGGTATACAATCTGCAGTGGTGTTTACATAGAAATAATATACTCCATATTTTTTATAAAATCGTGGGTATACAGCGTAAATCTCAGTAAATTTGAGAAAAAATAATTATTGTTTTTGTTGTGAACGATTTTTGTTTTTTATTGAAAACCGAATAAAACACATTTTTTGGGCACGAAAATTATTTCAGGCTGGTGAAAACTGTACATTATGATGGGCGTTCATCGTTTGTTATCGAACAGAATCGATAGTAACTAAGTAACATAATATATAATTATCGGAAAATACTGATAATAATTATATAAATGCATATCCAGTGTTATGGTAACGACATTGTTATACTGAATAAACAAAATCTAATTTTATTACAAAATTATTATTATTATTTTGAAAATTACATCATAATATGGTACATGGACATTTTTGTTTTAGCATTCTAATGTTTTTAATTGAAATTTTAAAAGTTATGCCAAATATATCCTCAATAAACTTGATAGGAAAATCACTGTACACAATTATGTTTTTGGTTTGGTCTTTTTTATTTTTTTTTCCAGAAAATTACATCAAAAGTATCAAGTAACTCAAATTTTGATTAAAAATGTTATCATATTCATGCTATTTTTTTTTATTTTTTTTTTAAGTAAACTACTCTTTAAATGTTAATAAAAACTATTTATAAAAACAATAAATAAAAATATGTTATAATTTACAATATGACTAAAATGTATTAAAAATTAATTTTGGTTAGGTTTTATTGTTTTTTCCAAAATAAAAAAAAAATTTAAACCGTTAATATTTTTATCAATTTATTGAAATATTATTATTATTAGTTATAGACTACGTTAGATAGGTACACTAAAAAAATGCGTACTTGAACTTGTTAAATATGATATTTTAAAAAAATTAATTTTTATTATCAATTATATTTTACAAATTTCCTTCCTATTATTATTTATTTATACCAGAAAAATAGGTTGACTTTAGCACATTTATTATGCTAAACATAATTATTAACTAAAATTTAAAATATTTTTAAAAAGTATTTTCAGTTTAATCATAAGCGATTGTCTTTAAAAGAACAACATGTTTAATAATACTAACAATATTTGGTATTTTTTTTTTTTTTTTGAATGTATATTAAGAACACATTTTGTGGATTATCCAAATTTTTGTTAATTGTTTAGCACGTGATTTATTTTTGTAAAAGTTGGTATATCCAATTCGATATTATATTAAACAGGTTACTATGATACCTATACTAGTATCTATAATTTGTTATATGTAATTATATTTTTTTAATATTATTATTGTTATATTTCTATATGTAGGTACTTGGAATATAAATATATAGTGTAGTAATCCTGTAATTGGCTTAACATTTAATCAAATTATTAATTATTATATTTTTAATACAATCTTAACAATCATCATTAAAATAAGTTATTATTTTTTTAGTTGCAACAAAATAACTAATTATTATTTATTTTTGTTTAAATATTATTTACAAATTTCCTGATCACTTTTGAAAATTATTTAAAATTTTTTGATTTTAACCGTCACAGTACTAAGTTAACTCAGATTAACCATATGATATAAATGATATAATTCATCATACGTCTTATCTCGTGATCCGCCTTACCATAATCGAGTTTTAATTTGTAGGTATATCGCACATCTTATTTCAGGAGTTAGTACTGTGGATTATAAAATTTTTAATTAGTACTAAATTAAAAATGTGTGCTCAATATAGTCATTTGTCGGTTATAATATGCCTGTATTCGTTTATAATAAATATCGTAACTAGGAGCTATTGCCTAACTCCTTTAACTCATAAATAAATTATAATTATATACGGGAACCGATAAAATATTAGCATGTTCACAGTGTACGTTTCGGTTTTCCTTATTGGTTTTACGTTTATGCAATTATATATGTAATATGTAAATGTCTGACTTTCGTAATATTCGTAAACCTTTTTCTGAATTCATGTAAAGCAGCTTGATCTCCATCGCAAAGAGAATTCTGCGATCGACTTAATAATGGTTTATCAGTCCAAATAACGCAACTTTTCACGATTGTACAAATTATGTCAAAGAGTTGATTTTATATTATACTTAGGTATATGTTACTATGCTAGAATATTTTAATCCCTCTAAATCTGTCGTAACTCGTAATGTAATACTGTATTATAATACTACCACATAACAACGATAACATATAATACTGAATAGTAATGTATCTAGTATGCATGTATGGCAGCGTACAGTAACTATACAGCAGATAGTGGACGAATGTATTTGAACTGTGAACCGCACATCCGACTTCGTAAAGCGCGAGTCGTATGACCGTTTATCCGTCGATCGCGTGTCTATTGAAAACCGGAAGTTTTCCGACGTTAACAATAGAAGAGTATACATACATATAAAAGCATTTTTTTGTTCACAAATAATATTATTATACTATACTTATACATACATATACAATAGTAATACGTACATATAAGTGCGTTGTCAGTTTGTCACGTGAATTGGATTGTATGAATGAAATGCGGATGAGTACGAGGGATTGGATGTATAATATTTGTAGGTATTGGATGGAAGTAAAAAATAATTTTAAAAAACGCTGTAGTTTCTATAAAACGATTGAATTTTTTTTTTAATGGTATTAATAGATCTTCGTTTGCGCATTGTTGAAATGTAAAATCGTATTTTCGATTCCCATTATAGCAATAGGTATTATACAAGGTATAACTAAAAATAGGAATATATTATATTTATATTACCCATTCACCTAAAATAACTATCATGTATTATATGAATTATGAATAATGATAATAAAATCTTGATGGCTAGAGTATAATATGTTTATGTATAATAAGAAATATTATATAGAATATTGATCGAGAAGTCGATAATCGATATTTAGGTATACACATTGTTGCGCCTCGTACACAGATATATATATATAATATGTACAATGTACATGCTATTTATCATAGGAAACACAATTGCTACACAATCATTAAGTGTTACTCTGCACTTGTAAACTGTAGTCGCCTGACAGTTGTTATAATATTGGACACCGTTTCATTGATTCCAGATTAATCAGATCTCGTACATAGCCGTTTAGATTACTACAACAATTTAGAGTGTCGAACGTTCATCACGTGAGTATGATATTTAATAAATAACAATTCATAGTACCCAATATATATTTATGTAGTATATAATAATATATGTATACACCTGTTAAACATATAAACTAAACAAATAACTGTAAGTAATTTTATATTTATTGTTAATTTTTTTATATTAATTTTAGGCACTAGAAGGTTTTTTTTTTAATACATTGAGTTATATTTGGCGTTAAAATTTAATTATCAATACACAATTAACTTTTTAAACATATAATCATTTTATAAACTGTTGTTTTTGCCAATTTGAAAAAAAAAATCCAAGACCATGAAGAGTATTTATTAAGGGCTAATTCCCTCAATTCCTCTTTTATATAATGCGATAATTCTTTAATGCTTATTGTTTTCTCTTTGCAGTTCCAATAAAATGGAAAAAATGAAGTGGTTCAGTATCTTAGTAGAACTATTGCTGCTGTTGATTCAAAGTGTTTACTACATTTGCGAGTCTATTTATTACCTGATTGTACCGTTACCGGAAAAATCGTTGGCTGACGACATCGTTTTGGTAATCAAATGTCCACATATTGTTAAAAAAAACAAAAACCAGCAAGAATCTTCTATATAAAATTTTAATAAATTGTCATAATATAATAATAATAATAATTTGAACGCAACAATAATGGTAACATTGAAATTAGTTTTCACCATTTTTATTGTTTTCGTTTCATGATTGGTAAAAAGTATTTATGTTTGGGGCTTATATTTTTATTATACGACATTAAATATGTTATAGAATAATGATAATGACTTTAATAACAATAATATTGACTACATAATGACAATAATTATACTAAATTATATATATATAATATATGCTTAAAACATTTATTTTAATACTTGAACTCTAGTACAAAATATATTTAATATTTCAAAACAAACAAATTTAATTGGTCATAATTACGTGTTTAAATGTTAAATGCAATAATGTGAAGTAAAAATTAAAAATATAATAATATTTTAAATAATAAATAACAAACTAACAAACTAACAAGATAAATCATAAATTTAAACTAATTAAAAAGCCTTAAAAAAATCCAAACAATAATTGTACTAAGAAACATTTAAAAAGTATAGGTGTCTATATTATAACTGCAAATACAATTTTACTAGATTTGTATTAAATAAATACTTAAATAATAAAAATAAAAATAGCAATATACTTACTTGTATATCATTTAAACATAAAGAATTTTTCATTAAAATATTGTTTAGGAAATTACATTATAAATACTATGTATTTTATGAATAGATCACAGGCACAGGACACGGAATAGGTAAATGTTTGGCGTTGCAGTTCGCTGATGTATCCGCCAAGGTGGTGTGTATCGACATTAATACGCAGTCGAATGCGGAAACCGTAAAGGAAATCAACTCCAAGTGGAAAGGAAAAGCTTTCGGTTACACGTAAGTGTACAATGAATAACATACTAAATTTTAAAAATTATATAGTTTACGTATTTCTGAAAATACATTTTACTGCAGTGGCGGGAAGTAAATGTTCAAGATTGCATTTTTGAGGGATATTATAGTTAAATATTGCTAAATTAATGATTAATAATTATTATCACAGTTTCAATTGGTTATGAAATTTCTTTTGTAGTATAGACCCCCCATATATTGACGCCATACTGTCTGTAGACTACTTCGACACAGTGTAGGGTACCTGCATGTTTTTTTTTGTGTTTTATTTAACATCATATCAGTTGTTTTATTTTGTATTGCATATATACAGTGATTTCTGATATATGATTAAATAAAATGCAATGCATGTTTAGAATAAATAATATAATTATAAGAACGAAACGAAAGAACAAAGAACAACGAGATTCAAAAAACGATGATTAATACAGTGTAATATAATATACAGTATATACACATGTTATACATATTAATAAACGTATATTATAATAATATGTATACTATGTCTCACTGAATATATTAATTAAGTGGTGCAATATATTTATTATCATAATGTGTCAGTATATTATGCGTATATTATATAAAAATATTTTAAGCCATAAGATTAAAACATTACATGAGTAAAATGTATGTGTGTTGTTACTCGATAATTATGTAATTAGTCAATGATTTATTATGGACTTCTTTTGATTCTATAATGAATTGTCTGACAACAGAGCTTCATAAATTAATGCTATTCGTGTTCTTATAATTTTTTTATAACTATTGACAATAGTTCCAAATTGGTTTATTATAATTATCATATAAAATAAACTATACTTCATCAATTTTAATAATATGAATAATAATTGTTATTAATTATCCTATACTTGTAGTTATACCTACATTAAATACTTTCGGCCCTTGTCAGTCGTCATAATATAATGTTGGCTTTATGATTTACTATACAGCAATTGTTAATTAATATAATAGTGTAACACTATATATACCTAATGCATAATATGGGTATGCTTGTGTATTATTTTAATACTACAAAATTTTTTTATGAATAAAAAATATAACTATTAGTTAAGTACTTTGTTTTGGAATGGCGCCTTTGTTCATTTGAAATCGATTTCTAAAAAGACTTAATAGTGTTTTTTGTATCCTCCTATAGCTTCATTCATGCAAATGTTAACTTATATCTTTTTAAACGAATTATTTTTATTTATTTAAAAATTTTGGATATAAAAAATTTAGTTGATGTTATTTTGTAACTTGATTTTCAGATGCGACGTTTCGTCTTTGGAAAAAGTTAGAGAGCTTGGTGAGAAGATAAAAAGCGAAGTTGGTACTGTTACCATTCTGGTTAATAACGCAGGAATTATGCCATGTAAGCCTCTCGAAGCTCACGACGAAACCACTATAAAGAAAATATTCGATATTAATGTGTTTGCTCATTTTTGGGTAAGTACACGTTGGATAAATCTATACATGCAACAAAAAAATAAAAATAATAAAAAATATGGACATTGTAATATGGTCCTGTATGGACAGGTCTGAATTGACATTAATTTCTTCGCTGACTAAAATAGAAATATTTATGGAATGATGTATTCTAATCCTTTTTTACGTTTAGTTATGTAGTCATTGTATATAATATTAAATAACTAACATATAATATTTTTTTAATACATACGACAAGAAATATAACATTTTATTATCATATAAGCTATCAATAATATTATATTTTTAAATTTGACCAAATATGTTAAATAATATACTGTGGGTTGGCAAACAATTTCTACTGGAGTCCGGAAAATTAAATAATAATAATTTTAATAATAAATGAGGTCCAGACAGCATATTTTTTTGTTTAATATTTATAATAAATTAATTACACATTCTATTTGAAATATTTTTACGATCTAATTTTCTGCATTCTGTGACCCGGTTCGGGACCGCGGTTCGCAAGTTGCTAACCGTTGCAATATACAATCTATTTAAATAATAAATTGGCATAAATATCAAATATATAAACAAAATCAATACAATTACTTATAGTTTAATTTACTTGGAGAAGTAAGGTTTTAAAAAATCGATGACTATAAAAATAAAATAAAACATTACCAACTACGCAAACAAGTTTTTAATATTTTTATTACTTTACAGTAGATATACACAATTATAGGTATGTACTGATATTGATTGTTGAGGTTTTTAAAATATTACCATGCAAGCTATAATACAATATTATTCTTGATATTCTTATTCTCATTCTTTATAGATTTTTATTTTACGTATTTCATTATAATTTATAATAATGATATTATTATAGTTAGTTTTATAATAAATTATTTAATGTTTAATAACAGAAACATTGAAATTTGAGAGTTATATTTATTTTATGAATCCGATGATTCCGTTGAGAACTCTGACCATATCATCGGAAATCAATAATTATTATTATTAGTATGTATTATGTTTTTTTTTTTTTTTAATATTGGCTATTTCTATACATAATTTCCTATTCTATATTACACTTTATTTGTATTTTTATGAACTGTATGAACATAACAACATTAATTACTATTTACTATTAGGCAATTAACATAAATAGATAGCGTATGCCGTCATTGCGTAACTAATAAATAATAATAGATAGTATTATTTGCATTACAAATGTAATTCAGAATCTGCAGAGTCGAAAATATATTCCCTAAAACCACCTATTCAATAGCGTAAGTTTACCCTATGCATTTTAAATAAATTGCATACATATACAACAAATAAATAAGTTTCCTTTAAGGGCTAAAATGCTATTTATAAGTAGTGCTATCAGTGGAGTAATTAAAAATTCGTTCTTGAGTGAGACATAATGATTTAATTATCATATTATATATAGCAATTTTATAAATATAATATATTAATCTAAAATTATTTATTTAAAAAACCGTTTGCTAATAAAAAACAAAAATAGTAATAGATTTTTTTTTAATATTATTATTATCCTTCTCGGTTTTATTTGATAAAACATCGATAATGTATTTATAATAAATTCTAAAATTAATTATTGTACAAATTATAAAAAATTGAAGTGTACGACAGACGAGAGTGGGAATATAATCACATTTAAAAGTATCATTAAGTATTTAGGTATAATTATTAAACTATATGGTTAATTTGGCTAATTCGAATGTCTCTTTCATTCAATATTCGATAGGTTGATACTTATTATTAAACTATTTTTTTAGATCGTATTCGTAATTTCATCCTGTATTAATCGAAAATTATGTTTCTATATATAATTAGATTTCCTTACAACAAAATAAATAAAAGATTATTTAAATTGTTTATTAGTGATTAGCTGTTGTAATCGAACACGGACAATTAAAAAAACTGTGCAATATGTGTATACTCTGTTTTATTTGCTACAAAATGTACATGTTCGCTATATTATTTTTAAAGATTTATGTCTCCAATATTAGGCCTTTGTAGTAATTTTAAATTCAGGGTTAAAACATTAAAAAATAATTAAGAACTATATTATACATTAATCAAATTCAATTAGAGACGTTGATAATTTATGAAGTTTGAATTTTAATAAAATTACCAAAATTAGTTTATTATTTTTAGTTAAAATTTCGTAAAATTTTCAATTTAAATTGCTTAGGTTTGAATAAAAAATATGAGATTCCTCATAAATTATTTTTATTTAATAATTCAAATATATTAACAATACACATATGTGCTATTTCCTTTATATTTAAATAAGTACTCTGACGAATTTTAATATTTTTTTGGTGACTCAGAAAATATTAATCGTAGAGACATGAAACTTTTGGTAATTACGGCATTATACGTACGTTTATTGTTTTTTTTTTTCTATAAATACGCAGTTAAATAAACTAAAAAAAAAGAAATTAATATAAATTGTATACAAAATACTCATAAGCATAAAATCAGCTTTCCTAGAAAAAATGTCCTAGTTAAACTAGCTGATAAATGATAAATGGTAGAATAATGCATTTTTAAATAAGTAATACGTAGCAAACCTGAAGAGGTTAAATTATTCTCCCCATAACACTATTTAGAGTATATTAAACAAAAGGCTCTGAAGGCCATGAGCTATTAAATTATAGCCTTGTATCCCACATAATAAAATTATGCAAATTTGTTCAATGTTTAAATTTGAATCGTCCTCAAACAGATACAATTAACAATGTATTATATATGTAGGTACAGTAAAACCTGTCTTATGCGAACCCTTGATAAGACGGATTCCTGTTCTGTGCGGAAATTTTTTTGGTCTCGGCAGATTTCTATAGTTTAACATAGGATTAAACCCTTGATAAAACAGAACCTGTTTTACGTGAAACGGAAAGCTATATTTTGGTACCGTAAATCATATATACCTTTAACAAACGGAAAAACACATCATAAAATGAACAAAAATATTTTTGATGCCCACATTTATTTTGCTACTAAACAATTATCAAGGTCAGCGATTAATACATATTGATAGATAACTAAATTTTATCTTGATTCTATAAATTAGCGCTTATTATTGTCACCGTGGTCGAAGTTTACCTGTCGTTTCGTATCGTCTTACCTACTTGTTCTCACTATGTCTAAAATCTGTTTAAGTTTAAATGAAAAAATAAAAGTAATCGAAGAAAGTGAAAAAGAAAATAGTGTTATTGTAATTATTTACAACAAATTAAAATTTATTGTAGCCCATATGATATTTATTAATTTTTAATATTTTTATTATTGACCGGAAAATGTTACAACTTTAATCGTGCCGTATATCGTAACTCTATAGTACGGAATTTTCCGTTTTATTCAGTAATAAGGAAACCTGCCAAAAACGGAAATTTTTATTGGTCCTGTGCAATTCCGCACAAGACAGGTTTTACTGTATTATGAATATTATATACAATGTACCTTTATGGCTATACATATACAACGTCTAAAAGAACTTTAAAAGCCTGTAGGATGTCACGTACCATGTTCCTATTTTAAAACAAACATTTTAGACAATCATATAAATAAAAATTTCGTCCCGGAAATGAATAAATAAATAATACCTTTTGAATGATCATTGTGTAATGTGTATATTATAAAACATTTGCGAATCGAAATGATGCGGAAAAGCACATTTAATATAATACGTATGTATTATACTTATTTTCGATATGTACAATGAATACAATGTTCTATACTCGTATGAATAATTTTTTCCGCGTAGCTATTAAAAAGAATTGATTATCCTTAAGTCATCTATAATAATGGCTGTAACTAAATGAGTAGGTACAAATGATATATTATTGTGGCGTATTTTTGTGAATAATAAAGCATTCAAAATTATTGTATCATAGTCATTTATTGACTTATTGGTACCCACATGTAAATTAAACCTTGAATTTAAGGGTCATAATATAATTACTCAAAATAAAAAATGAAAATTGTTCTCAAATATATTATGCAGGCCACCAATCACGGTTATAATATTCGATATGTATAAAATACAAAAAATTATTCGCATACCTAACAATAGTATTTGCAAAATTTATGACACATGCTTGTGTTCAACAATATGTAAATGTATGACTATTATCGTTGTAGATATTGTTGTATTTCATTTAAAAACAATTTTTTGTATATATATTTACATAATGGTACATTAAGTGTCGTTTGGAATAATTACTGCGTAAATGAAGAATATAGTTAAATATAATAGTAAGTACATTTACCTACTAAAAAACTTTCATTTTTTTTATGTATTTAAATTATATAGTATTTGACCGTCTTAAGTCCTTATCTACTTTACAATTTTATATTTATACGAAACTATAAATTATATTATACAAATATATATGTAAAAAAACCAAGTGTTAACGATCGATGTTAATCTTTGTCATATCGGATTCATAAGAATAAAATTACTTTCAAAATAGTATTCTCTGGTACGTTTATTTTATAGTTCAAATATTAATCTGTAATGAAAAATCTTATAACTTCAATGTAATTACCAATTTTTTTATGTTTATTAAAACTATTTACACGCATATTTACATCATCACTGGTATTTATATAGTCATATACATTTCCAAGCAATAGTCAATAGCTGCAATGGGTAATAATGCTATTACCTACGTACGTCATGTACATACATATTGTGTACTATTATATTTTTCCATACATATTTATGTTATATTATTATTGTAGTTCTATCTGTTCTAAAAAAGTAAAAATAAAAACATAAGCTAAAGGTTTTGCGAAATGCAACAATACTCATATCTATAATCTATTATAAACTAAAAGTTTGTAACTCATGTTTTTATCCGACCAATCTAAGTAGGTCTTTATAATTTAATTATTTCATAGCTATAACTGACGTAGTTATATGTAAACTGTATACATAACGTTGCGATTTTCTAAAGCAAACGTTATTGTTTTGTATATTTTCTAATGATGTTTAGAAGGATAAAAATTTAGCTATTTAGGTATTATCATTCTATATCAATAAAGTTCATCGCGTTCATCAGTTTCCTACATTATATTATCGAATATTTAAGTCTTTAGATATCTATATTAGCATACACGAATATTTTACCTATTTCTTAAGATAAACACTATGCTAATATTACTTAAATCAAAGAAAAAATGCACGTTTACAATGCTTTCATTGTGTGTTGCATTGTGTCTGAGACGCGTTAAAATTGACAGAATGACTTGTTATCATTCCTTTATAAAAATTGATTAAATTCGTTGATTTCAACTAGAAAACTATTTACGTTCTTTGCATAAAAGATGCAAACATATAATAATACTGAACTTAAACAGCATTTACAAATTATCTTTTTTTAACACAGCTAACACACTGTATATAGCCGTATAAGCAGGTATATTATATACATAAATATATTTATACATTTTACATTATTTATTTTTTAACCTATGTATTAACTTTGCATATTATGATAAATATATGTGTGATAGTTCACTAGAGGTCAATTAAACCGCGTTAAATAGGTACATTATATATAGAGTGTATCAAAAATAGTTAACAAATATAATTAACCTATTAGGTACATAATACCTTTTATTATTAGTAAAAATTTTTTTTTTCAATTGATCGGGATAAAAAATTAAAAGTTTGTACATTTTTAATTAATTATTACCATTTATCGGTTTTTTTTTATTCTAAAAATATTGTAAGACTGTTTTTATAATTAATAGAATATGAAATATTAATAAATAAATTACACAAAATAATAAAATTGTAAGGTTTTAACTTTCAGCCGATTAAGAACAACGTATTCTGTGAATTTCATGAACACAAAATTACATCATGTTAAAGTTGGTTCGGTGATAACAATTTGTTAGCTTGCGTATTCTAAATTATGATAATATATGATTTTATTATGTTTTCCGTATAACAGATTGAATCGATATCAATGAAATGGTATATTATGTAATTAATTGCTTATATTAAAATATTATTAATTATGAAATCCATGTATTCTACTAATTGACTTCGATATGGCTTAAAACTATAGTTAACACTTAGAAGTGTATTAGAACAATAATATAATATCAGTTTTAAAATTTCTCAAATTTTATACGGTACAAAATAATTCATGGCATACAATAATACTTGTATGATTTTTTAATGAACTAATTAAATAATATTTGCCACTTTTAAAAATATCTGAAAATAGTATAGTTAGATAATTTTAACTTATAAGCATTGGTCGGGAGGAATCAGGAGTACGATTATTATTACTACAGTCTATGCCTATACGAAAAAAGTTATTTGTACGATTAGTAATAATCGAGAAACAAATGTACAAGTCAACCAATGATAAAAATTAAAACAGTATCTTTTTTTTAAATATGTCTATTCGGTTTATTTATAGTATCAGAAAACAAGAGATTTTATTTTAAACTTTTCTAGTTTACTAATATTTTTAAATTAAACAATATTCGCAAAAAAAATAAATTTAAAGCTTTATGCTGAATTTAGTTTATATTTGGTGTTGTGTATAATTTATTTAACACCTCAGAGGCATAGTTAAATACAGTCAACTCGCGATGTAACGAAAATCTTGATATAACGAATAAAACTACCGGTCCCTTGAAAATATCGCGGTATAACGAACAAATGTAATGTATTTTGATCCCCTCGATGTAGCGAAGCGTTTTTGATCAAATTCTCGCGATATAACGAATTTTTATAAATTTGGAGCTTTCTATTACGAATTTTTAATTTTAATTAAGTTAAGACACATGTCTCTAGTGTATAACTCTATGAAAAATATATAAAAATAAGTATGTTGCTATTACCACATTATGAAGTTTTTTTGATGATTATCATGCGATAGTATATAGTATCGCAATTATTATATAAGAAATATCTGATTTTTTTTTTAAATAAATGCACACATGTATAGCGATTTATTATATGTACATATTAAAAGCAATATTATTTTTATAGCATATTTTTATTAGAAATATTATTACATACATTTATATTGAAACTAAACAATAAATACATACTTATATGACTCATATATTTTAATTTTATACATATGTATACGAATAATAAAATTTTGAATTTTTGTTTAAATCTCGTCATAACGAATTCAATTGGTATATTCTCTTGATATAACAAATTTCGATGTAACGAACTTTCGATATAACGAATTTTTTTCTCGGTCCCTTGAAATTCGTTATATTGCGAGTTCACTGTATAACTGCAGTTTAATAATACTAATAATACTGAGCATTCCGATTACTTATAAGTTTTAAATTATAATAGACGAGTGAAAGGGAAAGAGAAAGAATAATAACTTATAAAAATCGAAATTAAAAAAGTAGGAACAAAGGAACTATGAGCGTTGACTATTAATTATTAATTTATATAATCAACGCTGTAATAGTATATAATACGCCAATAGAATTTTACCTAAACTTAAATTTTAAATGCTCATCAAAAATTGATTTGCTTAACGGTTATTTTTTTAACCAAGAAAAAATAACAAGGGACCTCGTGTTACTTTTCTAAGCTTTTTGACGTATAAAAAAAATTTACCAACACAAATAGGATAACAAATATTAGGCAATTAGAGTAGAAAATTAAAAATGTCTTTTAATAACTCAAAAAGAACCAAAGCATTTCGAACATTTTATCACGTCAAGAAAATGTTAAATTAAATAATTAATATATTATAATATACGTATAAAACCAATTTGTTGATAATTTTTTTTTTTTATTACTTACTAAATGAGTCAATGTGCTGTATTATTGTTTTTTTTTTCTAAAACTGGCTAATAAATGTTGTTTTACTTGTAGATGCTCGATACATTTTTACCCGGAATGAAAGCGTTGAATAAAGGACATATAGTATTCTTGTCGTCAATGGCTGGTATAATTGGCTTGAAGAACCTAGTGCCTTATTGTGCGTCCAAGTTTGCAGTGAGAGGTTAGTATAGTTATAGTGGTGTTTAGCTATGCAACATTCGTTCATAATAAGTAATAACTATAACGGTTACCATCTAAACATTATTTTGATTTTAGGTCTTTCAGAAGCGATAATGGACGAGTGTAGAGAAGATGGATTCACAAATCTCTATTTCACCACAATTTTTCCGTATATGGTCGATACCGGTCTGTGCAAGAAACCTATTATTCGGTAAGTACACAATGTTTGTATACAACTGTAGTGTTCGATAACGTTTTTCTAACAAAACAATTTCAAATAGTTTTCCCAGTTTGTTACCACTCGTAACACCCGAATCGACGGCAAAAGAAATCATATCCGCCGTTAAAAAGAACCTACTTGAACATTCCATTCCAAGTCCATTGCTTGCCATCAATAATGTCTTTAGGTAAATTAAAATAATTGTTTAATGAAATTTCTAATGACAGCTGTACACTAAAATGCAATGCACATTGTGATTTGTTGTTCTTACTCGTTATAGGTGTTATCCAAACAAAATGGCACTGGCCTTTAAAGATTTTATGGGCGGTGGCGTTGATGCACACGATGATTGATGGAACTAATAACATGAGAAATAATTTTCTTACTGAAATATTGTGAAACAAATATAATATGTATTCATAATATACAGTTCGTAAATCGATCACAGGCATACGCCGCTAATCGATCAATCGGGTACCGTTATATACTTCAAAATGTGAAATTCTTTATAACTAAATTTGTAGTAATTATTTTTAATTTGAGTAATTTAATACACTAAGAAACCTGAATTTAAGAACAAAACCGATCTGCCTTAAGCCTGCAATTGCAGTCTGCTAATCAGCTTATTGTAATTTTGTCTACAGATAGTGTTATGTACTTAATGACGTATGTTAATTTATTTTAATTTTAGCTGTTCGTAATACAATAGCACGTACTTTAAGTTATATAATATTTGATATGATTCGTGAGTTCTATTTTTGTAATCACAAGCACAATTATTGTTGTTAAACATAATTTAATTTAATTAAAATGTAATTTATAAAATATTTAGTAGTAAACTAAGACTGTTATTGTATCGGATAATAATTGCCTAACGTAAATATATTTATATATAGGTGTATAATACATGTGTATTGTACCGTGTATTGCATGGAAATTTGGTATACCTACGAGTTAGGAAAAAATTAAATTAAATAAATGTATATTTTTTCATTTGTGTTATGATGTGTAATGAACGATATGTAGGTATATGTACATTGTGAGAAAAAAAAAATACGTAGAGCGTTGAAAAACTAATTTAAATTTTGAAACGATTTCATGATTATAAACAATAAAGTTACTAAAATGCACAGCTGTGTAACTTTTTATGAATATTCATGGACGATGGACGAACTGTTTTATCGGTGATAAATAAGGCCCAGATTTATATGCAATAAAAATCTATAAAATCTGCAGATTCATATCGTAAATATGCAAAATCACTTTTTTTTATAAATAAATTAACTATAGGTATACGATTATGAGTAAGAATATTTCATAATCTTAATATAAGCATAAACAATTGTAGGTACCTATATAAAGTTATTATCATAAAATCCGGAGTACATTACTTCTATGTGACCACTGACCAGCATAAGGTAATAAAAATCGATTTCAAGTTTTCGAATTGAAAACCTCTATGATTATTTTCGAGCACACTTTTGTATTTAAAAAACTTCAATTCACATCACAAGACACAATCAGTGATGTATATTTAAAACTAGATAAACCTTTAACTGACAGTTCCTTATCTTCGTTACGTTCCGTTAATTCGCCGTTGATGATGGGTACTATTGATTAAATTTTTTAACGAAACATTTGTACGTTTAGATCTAGCTAAATCTTTCCCTGACCCTCCTCCTACTTCGAACTCATTTTTTATATACTCTATGAGACTATCCCCAGGGGCGGACTGGCCAAGGAGGCAAAGGGGCAATCACCTCCCGGACCCTTGATAGGGTCGATCAACAAAAATTATACATGTTTAAGTTTAAAATGTAATATTAAAATATAATAGTAAAACACCATTTATTATCAAATGAGTGAAAATTAATTGAGCACTATTAACTAAAAATATTTATTAATTAAAATTTGATAATAATAGGTCCAGTTGATTAACTCTACGGACCCTTCGATACCCAGTTCGCCCCTGTCTATCCCTTAAAGTAACATTCGATTTCTCTAAAATTGCGTAATAATTGTATCTATTAAACACTGACATTATGTCGTAATAACGGCGAGCTCGTTTTCATGAAATAAACTATACGCGTACCTACGTTTTCAACACATTTTGCTACTTTTTTATCAAAAAAAGTTAATAACACGGTTTATCTCATTTAAATATTTCCCATAGTAAATTACTGCTTTAAGCCATATACCCGAGCGAGTTAATATTGATAGTGTGGGTAAACTCAAATTGGGACACATTTCTTTGAAAGTATTTAGGCCGTGAAGGTGCTTTTAAAAAATATCTTCTAAGTATATGAAATTAATCGATTGCCATTTTACGTTACATGAATCCGTTTAGGGTAAAATACTTTAAGGGCTTCGCCAGCTTTAACCATTTACAGATTTGTTACATATGGGTACAACAATATAATATTTTTTCAGACCATAAAATGTTCGTAATCAATAAATGATAGGGAAATTTTTTGAAAAATGTATTATTGTACCTAATTTTTTAACTGTTAAAATGATTGGTTTTGTAGATACATTCTTCAGATGATAATTTCTCAATAATGACCTTAACGACATAATATCATCCGTGTGAATCGCGGATGTTTCGCCCCCGCCATTGACATAAACAATACTTATAAAATATAATCAAATAGTCAAGATATAAATAAATCACAATTATATTAAGTCAACACAAAATATTGTAAAAATGAATAAATTAAAATTAAGTGCCTACTATATAATGTTAAGATAAATTATATATTTATTTTAGGTCAACTGACATATGTTTTTTAAATAGTATTCATGTCATTATATTTAAATCATGTACAAAATGATTGCAATTTTAAATAGGAATAGGTTTATCTTAATAACTTTTGATATACTAAATATCTTATACCTATTTGAAAACCCAATCATTTAATCTTCTATAGTCTATACTCTATACTATATTATATATTATAAAGCTGAAGAGTTTGTTAGTTTGTTTGTTTGAACGCGTTAATCTCAGGAACTACTGGTCCGAATTGAAAAATTATTTTTGTGTTGGATAGTCCATTTGTCGAGGAAGGTTTTAAGCAATATAACATTACACTGCGACCAATAGTAGCGAAGCATCAGTGAAAAATGTTGCAAAAACGGGAAAAATAAATAATAATAATAATAATAAAAATAATAAAAAATTAAAATTAAAAATATGAATATAGAGTGTACCATAATGTACCACTATGGATTAATTTAAAAACAGAAATATTATTAGCCACTATAAAATCACATAAATCTTTGTTAAACTATTTGTATTTTGATTATTACTTCTGACTTAACCCAATGATGACACATTGACACTTTCAATTTAATTTAGGTAAAGACTAAACTAAAACTAAATTCTGTGCTCCAAAATGTATTGCACAGTATATGTTCATAAGCTCTAGTCTAATGTAAACGTATAATCCATGCAGGTATTTATAAATTTACCAATAAAATATTCAATATTTATTCGTCAGTTGTTGATAACTTATTGATGTAAATTGAATGGGTTATTTACAATCAACAGTAGGTATTTTTACAGACATAAATATGACTATTTTAATGAATAAAGATAGAATTATAATTATTATGATTATTATTGTAGAATATATAAAAATATGAAAAAAAAAAAATTAACTATAGAACTTACATAATACGAAACTTTGACATTTATAATCAAAATTATTCTAGGTGATTTATGAAAGAGTATGCATTTGCGTATAAATCCAGGCTCTAGTGATAAATAACAAATGTGTAAATAAAAATAACATTTATTTAAAATTAAATTAATACATATAATTTGAGTCTGTGAAAAACATGCTGTAAATATTAAATAACACCTATCATTAATATATACTGAACAAACTTATACAGTATAATGTATAAACAGTTATACTATTACCATATCTGTAATTATTGGTTTTTTTTTTCCATCTAATGAATATGTCAAAGTTATCTTACCTTTGAATAAATGCAATTTTCTATATGCCCCTTTGATTCCCTAAACATAAAATTGGTTAAATAAATGTAATTTAAGGATAAACTATACAATTTTACATACTTTTTCAATTTTTTCTTTTAGTGAGGCACATTTTAAATTATCGTTTTTTAACTGAAGAACTTCTTCTGGTGAAATTCCAATTAATCTTTCCAGTACCTAAAATAAAAATAAATGTATATACAAAATTATAATACATTCATGAATTAATATATAATTATATTTATTAGAATTTATTTTTACTTTTATTTATCACTTTACTTACATCTGACGAGAACTCGACTTCTTCATGTTTCGATTCATCCATCACAATACCAGAACATATCCATTCATTTTGTTTCACTTGTATTTTTGAATTTTTAACAATAGAAGCAGAATTTAAAATCTTAATCAATGGGTTTGAAACATCAATATCCATATCAATATCACCCCAATCATCCTCTGGAGTGTGCAATTCAATTGATGGCCTTTTAGTCTCTGTATATATTGGTGAACTAGCAATACGTTTTCCTGATATATGTTTAACAGACATACTATTGTTGTCTATTGTATTGTCATTTTGATGCCTAGTCGATTCAGCAAATGAATTTCTACTAGATGTTGATGCGGTACTTGGACCTAACATATCAGATATTTTAGTCTGTTTTGCAGTGACTACTGGTTTTTTATTTGTTATTAAGTTGTTATTTTTAGGAGCTGATACTTTTGTTTTATTGACATTTGTATCATGTTGATGTGCATCAAACGTTTGCAATGGTACAGAATTTACAATATTATTAGATTGAGTGAGTCTAGTTTCAATTTCAGCCATTTGAGTTAGATATAATAAATCATCATCATCACCATCAAAAAAATCATCATACTTAATAAATATAAAATAAAAATCAATAAAATTCATACTAAGTAAAATTAACATGATAATTAAGTACTTACTGTAATAATTCCATTTCCAACACGATTGTTATTATAACTTTGATTTGTATTAGTTTGGGGAACTTCACTTATATTAACCGTAGAAACATTTTCTATCTGTCTTGGTGGAATATCATGTGGTTCCTGTACTTCCATAATAGCATTTTCAACTTCAATATTTGAAAAAATATAAGGATTTTCTAATTCGGGTTTATTTCTACAAAATAATTCATAAGATTAATATATGAATACATCAATTTCAATTAAGCACTTACAGAGCTCTGCACAAAACATTAAAAGGAGCATTTTTTATTAATAAATGTTCTACTTCACCTCCAATGAAATGTACATTACTAGATTTTAATAGTAATACTCCTTTCCTATATTCAACTGGTCCGATAACTACTATCTGAAACAAAAATTCAAAATCTACTCATCATTCAAATAATAGCTTGGTAGCTTGAATTTAATTATTACATACTTTGAAACCAGGAATAAATGGCTCTTTAAGACAATGCAATGGCTCATATTCCATAGCCACTATATCCTGTCGACCATCAGAACACATCATTTTTAGCATTCTATGTGGTTTAGGTTCCCAAGGAGCAGGTTTATTATCACCAATTTCAGTATTACTAGTGTCTCTTTTTACTATTATATTGTATTGTGAATAACACGATTGGCCAACATCAAGTATAGTATTCACCTACAGTTTTTAGAACATGATTTTATAATAATATTAAGAATACAATTATTATGTAGGATATGGAAACTGGATGTCTTTCATGATTCATCTCGAGTGGTGTTTTAATATTTATTATTATAAATTAAACCCTTTGACAACTGCATTCAAACATGATAATATATCTGACTGTATTGCGTTAAATTCACTTTATAAGAAATATTTTTATTTTAATCGAAGATTTTCTATACTAAAAATAAAGTGTATATGCAACAGTAGAATGTCAAAAATATTTATATTTTCGTAAACATGTGACAGTAGAGGTCATAAGATTAAAACATTTAATTTTAAATAGTTTTTTTTTTAATAAAAAAAACATTTAAGCCATATCAACATGCCAGTGATATGAGGAGGTGCTGTCACACATTGCAAAGAATTAAGAGTAATAATTAATCATCAAATTATAAAAACCATTCAGAGTTATTGAGATTTCTTCAATATTTATTATGAGACTGTAGGGCAATCATTATATCAAAAAAACTGAGAAAATTAAAAAATGATTAGAGTAAGTAACAAATAAATCTTATTTAAAATCAATAGATAAGCCTAAATAAAAATGTTACAGCACTTCCTAAAATTTTTCACTCAAATAATAAATTATAATTAATCAAGATTGTTGAGCTATTTAAAATCTAAAACATGATAAATTTACTCAAAAATGATTAAGTAGGATAAAATATGGCACAATACCTGAAGACAGTACTTTCCATTTAACATTCTTTTATCACAATTATTTAAATTGGCCGGTAAGCTAAACAATGCAATTTCTTGAAAATCAGATAAACTTAATTGTTCAACCACCATGGAAGATAAATCTTTTACATCACACTGAAAACAAAATAATGAGAACAAGCTGTTATTAATTTTACTTGTTATAATATATTTTCATTTATTACATTTGGATTATCAGATATGAAGAAATCCACACATTGTTTAAACCATTCGTTCTCAGATGATATTTTAATATGAGATTTCTCCAAATGACGAATTACATGATTGCGCATTTCTACATTAGAAATAGTCATTGTACAGCTGTTTATAATAGATCTCAAATCTAAAAGAAAATAAATGAAATAAAAACAATTGGTAAAATTTAATCATAAAGAATTAAATGTACATAAAAGGTATTATATTGTTAATTCAATGGAACATAAATATTTTATTAAAACATTTAAACATATTTAAAAAAAATTGAATTTTATAAAATAAATAAATTTATATTTTAGATTATAAAAATATTTTTGGCATATGTGTCATGCTATCTACAAAAAAAATTATTGATACAAATTTACAAACTTATGTTACTAACCTGCTCAATAGCCTATTGGTTGACAGTTGTCCCATTTTAAATAGCCTATTTGTTAACAATTATTCATATTTCTTTAATTTTTTATGAAATATAAAAAAAATATTTTTTGAAAAAATAAAAAAAAAATATGAGCAACTGTTAACAAATAGGCTATTGAGCAAATTAGTATTTTAAGTTTGTAGATTTGTACATATAATTTTTTAGAACTGTATAATTTTATACCTATTATTATTATTATTATTATTATCTTTATTCAGTTTTACATTGAGTATTAAGTATAATTTACAATAAAGTACAACTGATACATATGCTAACTGAGCTAAAATGCTCGTATACCTACATAATCGTTGATACCGTCAATACGGACCACAAAAGATAATGTAATTATTGTAAATAGCATACAACATTAAAAATTTGTTCAAAGATAGCATAAGACACATGTGCCACATTTTTTAAATTTTTTAGAATTATTAAAGTAGGTAGGTACCTAGATAAAAGTTTTTAAATAATTCATTTTTCTAAGATTTTATAGGTATTTAAATATACTTAAAATATCCTAATTTAATAATACATAATAACTAATGAGGCAACGCAAAGTATATAGACAGTATTTGTATGGTAAATTAGAAATCAATTTAAATAGGTATTTTTTTCTAAGAATGTAGGACATTAGTGACTTAAGACACCAAAATTTTTATAAATATATGATGTAATAACAATATGAATATACAATAAAAATAAAATAATGAAAAATATTAAAAAGCAATATTTGATAACATAACATTAACACACATTATATTATTGATTTAAAAATCAATTATTTTAAAATTTATATTAAACTGTGAAGTTTTACACATATTTTTTAGTCTCTTCATTTTTTTAATTTTACAATTTATTGATTTATCTATATTTAATTTATTATATTATGGAATATTACCTAAACTAAGCTCATATTTTATAACTATCAAATCAAATTAACCATAAATATCTAACTACCAACATACTAAAAGCCATAATCGTCAATTAACAAAATCCACAGAATACTTTTTTTGTTTTGGTGGGAGAGGGCTGAGAAAACTATAACCTAAAAGATGCCACAGTTTTGTAATTATTTAGCAATAAATATAGAAAAATTTATTTTATCCATTGTAACAATATAATATATTAAATTATATAAAATGTGTTGTAAATAATAAATATATAAATGGATCAAGATTTGAGAATTATATTTAAAAAATCATACTGTCATAGGAATATAAAGATCAACGCTGAATTCTAGGTCAAAAACAATTATCAGAAATACCAATTATCATTATTATGTTTGAACAAGTGCAAAGGCAGGTGATTGTTTAAACTTAAGTACCTTACAAAATTATAAGCAAGCCTCAAAGCCAAAGTTTATTACATTTGCATTTCTTTTTGTTTATTAGATTTATTTTTAGTAAGCTTGAAATTAATGACATGACACAGAACAAAATATTAAAAGTGTAAAATACAAACAGTGTTAAGTGATTTTATTTTTTTAATTTTATCATTTTTTAGAGCACATTTGATAATTAATATGTTAATAATTATGATTTTATTAATATATAAATAATTAGTACAAAATATAAAAATATATTTTAATAAAATATTTGTACTATAGTATATGCATATTAATTATTTAGAATTTTTTAAGTGCATGAAGTTCCAAGCCTTAATTATAAGTATAGCTTTTAATAGAAACTGTAGTTATAATTATTATTTAGCAAATAATATTAATGTTCTCTAAAAATTTAAAAATAGAAAAATTACACCATCAACATACAGTATTGTCTTGTTAATTATCAGAGACTTCACCATATATTTCACTTAAGGACCACATTCGTTGCTCAGTGTTAATTGAATTGTCAGAATTTTAAAAATATTGACTATTGAGTGTGGAATGACAAATATAAAAAAAAAACTGTTGAATGTCAAATATCTAAAAGTAGTTTTGTTTATCCAACATATATGGGATCTTATTAACTATCAGATTATTAAAAATACTAGTATATTCCATCATAAATTGAATTTAAATTAAAATTTATTTTCATTAAACTTTCATAAGATTATGTGTGTAAATATAATTAATATCACTGATAAGTTTAATTTTAGTTAAGATTCTAACAATATTGAAAAATTTAATTTCATTGAATTATTAAAACAGTAATTAAAAAATAAAATTATAACTGAATGTGTTAAAACTATACTGGATAAAGGACTAACGTAGTGCCTAAAATTACTAAGACTTAACCGTCATTTTAATTTGTAATACAACAAAATATTTTATAAATTTCTATATAATATTTTATGCTTGTTAAAATAAGTGCGATTCGATACACTTTATATCAAGTGTATTATCATTATTTTCCCCGTTGATAAAATTCATTTAATCACAGGTATGTGATAAGGAAAACAACCAGTGTTAGGAAAAATTAACTGAATATAAATTATAAATATTTGACAAAGTTAAAACAGAACGTTGTGAAAAAACGCAATGGACAAGGAAAAGGGCCGAAAATCTGATCCTAAACATACAAGTAAGTAGTGTAACTAGTAAATTACATACGATTTCTAATTCTTTTAGTGTAAGCAGTAAATCTTGACTGGGTATAAATGGGATCGATTTTTCCACCGCTGTCGTTTTACGCGTTTGATTTACATTTACGGTTAAGTTTAAGTCATATTTCGTTTTTGTGAATTACAATCCAGAATGACGAGTTAAATAGTACACGATGAAACATTAACTTACTTTTGACGGTTTTAATTGAATACGTTTATCGTTTATGAGAAAATCGTAAATAATAATATTAAAAAAGTGAATTATGTTTACAAAACAACAAAACAGAGTGGCCAGATGAATCTGACTTCGAGGACAGCCTGCGAAAGGCCCACAGACGACTGGTTGATGATAAGACGAGCGATCTGTTATTCTGTTATCGTCGGTGGCTGGGCAAGTGTAAACACGACCACGTGCATAGTGCTTATAGATTACAGTCTACAGTGCGTGCTAAATAATGATTTTGTGACAATTGTTGTAGCTGCTGTCCATTGACTATTAACTATTTAACTATTAAATAATATCATTTTTCAATCAATTCAATAATTTCATCGATTTAGTCAGTAGTCACCACACAACATGTTACGCCGGCAAGCTCGACTCCGGCGCGAGTACTTGTACCGCAAGAGTTTGGAAACCCGTCAAAAGGTGATCCAAGACAAAAAAGAACGGCTTAAACACTGTTTGGACGAGAACGTGCCCATTCATTATGACCTGCGCCCAGAGGCATTGCACTTACAGGAAAAACTAGAATGGGACGACGATTCACCAGGGTTGTCGACTATCGGTGGTGGCGAGGAGGGCGGTGCGGGTACCTCGCACGAGGACGATGAGTACCGTTGGGCTGGTGTTGAGGATCCGAAAATCATGATCACAACGTCGCACGACCCGTCGGCCAGACTAAAAAAATTCGTCAAAGAGCTCAGACTGATATTTCCAAATGCCCAACGCATGAACCGTGGTAATTATGAAATTAAGCAGTTGGTGCAGGCCTGCCGGGCTAACGAGGTGACTGATTTTATCGTTGTGCATGAGCACCGGGGTGTCCCGGACACATTGATTGTTTGTCACATGCCGTATGGCCCAACAGCCTATTTCAACTTGACAGACGTGGTAATGAGGCATGACGTTCCAGACATTGGTACAATGTCTGAACAGTTTCCACATTTGATTTTCCACAATTTTGAAACACAGCTTGGTAAGAGAACAATGAACATTTTGAAGTATCTGTACCCGGTTCCTAAGGAAGATAGCAAGAGAGTCATTTCTTTTGCAAATCATGATGACTTTATATCGTTTAGACACCATACTTACAAAACGGTACAAACTTATTATAATCAATTTACTTATATTATCGTCATTAAACATAAATATTTTTAGGTGGATGGTAACAAAATCGAAATGAATGAAGTTGGTCCTCGTTTTCAGTTAAAACTTTACCAAATAAAATTGGGGACCTTAGAATCAGCAGATACAGCAGACACAGAATGGATGCTTAGACCTTACATGAACACTGCATCCAAGCGTCGATATCTATCATTAAAAGATGGGTGGGCTCAAGATGATACAATTTTTTCTTAAATAGTGATTGTTTTGTAAATAAAAAAACTTTACCTAAATTAAAAAAAAACTTTTTTTATATGTTAATTTTGATGATGTTAAAAATTACCATATTTAACTTTTTATCATCTGTATATAATCGTAAAGAAAGATAACAAATTGCATTATTAAAATAAGTTGTTTAAGTAAAAAAAAACCACTTACTTTATTTTAACTTAACTGTAACACATTTAAAACATGAAAATGTATATTTTTTAAACAAATCTTACACTTAGTAAGCAAAAATACTTATTTAACTATGAATATTAGTTTAATATGTTTATTCTCTATATAAATACTTTTATAGGATAAGTAATAAATACATAACAGAAAAATGTATAACATTTAACTTTTTTCAAATAGTATTTATAACTTTTAATGAAACTGAGTTTAATATTAAATCTACACGCAAAGTTATATTAATAGTCCAAGTTTAATAAAAAAAAAAATTCTCAATGTAATATTACAAATTTCAAACTTATAAGTTACAATACTCACAATCTACAGATATCACTAAAAAACAGGTCTTTCTTGGTTTTCTTTTATATTTAAAACTAAAAACTACAATACATTTTTTTTATCCACTATGAACTCTACAATTTTTTTTTTTTAAACGTGATATAGGAATCAATATTAAAATTTTAAAGCGAAAAATATATTTTTAACATTTGCTCGTTTAAATTAAAATCATTTTTACCTGACCCATATTACCTAATACTATCTCAAGGACCGATGTTTCACTGTCAAACATAATAATTTTTGCTCCCCTATCATAAAATCAATGCGAGTGTACCCCAAGGAAGCGACCTATCACTTATAGTATGTAATATTTATACAATTATACATAAGATATCCCCAAAACAAACTTCACAACTCTCAACGACATATGCAGATGATACCGTTATAGTATCATCTAACAAAAACCCAAACATAACCACCCAGGCCATTATATACAATACCACTTAAATAAAATCTCTAACTGAACCAAAAAATGGAAAATCAAGTTAAATGAAAATAAATCGATCCAAATGAATTTTTCTCTAAGTAAATAAGAACGCCCTCAACTATCACTCGACAACGTACTAATTCGTATTAAAGATGTGACCAAATACTCAAGAGTTTACCTTGACAAACGACTTACCTGGGCCCCAACATACCAAACTTATCCAGACGCACCATGCAAATCATGCAATATACTTGACAGACAGATCACAATACGTCCAACACGATCAGTACGTCATTAGCGGTTTTCAATCTTTTTAACAATGTAGCACACTTCTTCTACAAAATTTTTGCGGCACACCAATTCATATAATATGTAAAGCATATATTTTTATATATATATATATACAAAATTAACTATATCAATAGATTTATCGCGGCAAACCAGTGTGCCGCGACACACCGGTTGAAAACCTTAAACCACTGGTATACATCTATAAAAGTAGTATAGTAATAGTATTACTACTCACTAGTCATTACTCAGTATGCAGTGTACACTACTATTTTAAAAACAGATAAAACTTGAAAGTTGAAAAGATTATTATTGTTTCTAAAATGAATTCCTATTCCTTAAATCCGTAGTTAATTTTATTGTCATGATTATAGTTATCATTTTAAACGGATTTTAAGTCTGAAAAAGACAGAAGACTGTAAAATATTTCTTATTGACGACCTAAAATTAAAATTGAGTCCAAAGTCCAAAATAGAATCCTATCTACGCAAAAATTTAATTTTAATGATCATGATAATAGGTAGATAGTAGATATTAAATAGTTCTATTATTATTATTATTATTTGTTATTACAAAATGAAGTGCTAACCTTAGAAATATTTTATGCAAACTAATAGCTATAAAAATAACTATTCAGACATTCTTAGCTTTTTCTACAATAGGTAACAACTAACAACCAAATACGTTACTGTATTATGAACTACGATAGAGACATCTCAATTTAGATTTCAAAAGAAAAAAACGTCTACCAATTAAAGCGTTCGGTCTAATAACTATTCTTACTGTGGTATTGCGATTTCGCTTTTTAAATTTTTACTCGACAATGAGAACATTTTGATTTTAAGTCTTCAAGTTAATAATAGGTACTAATTTGGTATAGTACAATGCACTTTAATATTAAAGGTACATTATTATTCTTACTTACATTCTGTTTGTTTAATGTTCAAGACGAACCGGAAGTTACTGCAGTTTCGAGATCCGGGAGAATCATAAAGAAATCTTCCAAGTTGTTAGGTTTTGAATCTTCGGACATACGTGAGTAAAAAATCATTGAATGATTAAAAATGAACGATTAGCTTTGTACATTTGTTTTACATGCTGTTAACTATTGTCTATTTTTCAACAGAAGAAAAAGATAAAACTCCCAGGTTGTCGAAACAAAGTTCAAAAAGACAATCGTCCAATAACGAGCCACTCGATCAAGTCAGTATTTTTTTTAAATAACAAACCTTAATGTGTTACAATAATGTTAATATACCATGTATTTTGTTTTTAAATGTTAATATCTATAGACATTAAAATAAGACTTTCTGTTTTTCAGTTCAATGATGATGATAACAGTATGGAATTTTTAGAAGATCAACAACACACTGAAAGCAGTGAATGGACTGTAGACACAAAGGATTGTGGTGAGTTGCATTAACTACACACAATAATCAATAAGAATAAGGCATATTGATTTTATAGCACATATTATGAGTACCTAAACCACCCTCTAACATACATGCAATACAACGATTGCTGATCATACCAAATTTACAGTCTTCACTTTTAATTATATATTATTTGTTTTTCTTTGTTATGTATTGGAATGTGTAAGTCTATGTTGCAACATATTATATTATATAGGATATTTAAGCTCTTAGCATAGGTGCACCAGCACAATTTTATTAATTGATCCATGACTTAAAACTACCTATATCCTCTTTCCTTGGCATTTTCGTGCAAATTATTATAATCGATATTAAAATTCTTATAGATAGTTACACTGAACCCAGCGGCACTTCTATTTCAGTAGGAGAACACAATCAAGTAAATTTTCTTCTTTTATGATTTATAGATATAACGTACTTAATATTTGTTTTATTTTTAAAAATGTTTAGTTTATGTATGCTCTCAAAAATTTAAACATGAAAGAACCAGGGTTTGTAGCATATGCATTATGGGCTAAAGAAGTACGCAAAACATTGATGAACGCTTATCCAAATTTTAGTAAGTTTCTTTAATATCTTATTTTCTCTTATTTGGTTTTTTTAACTATGAAACAATTTGTCAAGGTACGGTACAAATTAATCAACAGCTCAGAGACATGTGGAAATCTGTACCAACAGAGGATAAAAGTGTAAGTTCCATCTAGAGAAATTATAACATCTAATAATTTATTTTTAATTTTGTAGCGATGGGTACGCAAAGCCAAGAGATTATTAGAACGCGAAGGATTGGATGACAGCAATACAGATGATTCAAAAATTACAGTAAAGAAATCAAGCGAAGAAATTATTGATAATTCAATAAATACAAGCAATACGTTAGTAATATTTGACATAAAATATTAGAATAACCATCTTAACTGTAATCTGTATATTAATTGTATTATTTTTAATATTTAGAAACAAATCCCAATTAGAACCGCTAAGATCGACACAGCCTATTGACGTAGCAGCTCATTTGGCTTTACTTGGCGAATCATTGGGCATAATTGGCCAAAGACTAAAAGAACATCAAGTGAGTTGATTAGGAAGTCTACCTTAGAAATTGTTTTTCACAAGTATTGACAACCATGTTTATGTTGTGTCTTCAGGGCCAGATAGCTGTAAATGGTAGTGTATCAGTCCTTCTAGATTCTTTGTTATGTGCCTTGGGACCTCTACTTTGTCTTACTCAACAAGTGACAGAAATTAATGTGAACTCCCAAGAAACGATGTCAAGACTAATGGACGACATAGCCTATATAATGCCAGGATTATAAAATTATTAATTAAACTAATCATTAGATTTTCCGTTGGTATATATAATTCTTACCAATTTATGATGAGAAAAAATATAAATGTTAAGAGTGAAGTAGTAAATAGCAATCGTTGTACAAAATTAGATCCCACATCAAACTTTAGACTATTGTACTAAATACTTTGTAGGCCCTCAATAATAAAATGTACTGTAAATTATTAAAAGTTAAGCGTAATATTAATAAGCATTTTAAAAATGATTTAGATTCAGGTCTGTTCCATTTCCCCTGTAAAAAATGTATATATTCATGTATTATTTTAAGCTTTTTTTTTTTTATCACAGTATAAAATAATTATTTATTTTTGTATTATTTTTAAACAATATATTATACATATATATTTGTTAGATTTTTTATTTTCCAATTGCTTATTTAATTTTGTCACTAAATCCTTACTGCTTTACTGAACTGCAGCATAATATAATATAAGACATATTAAAATAAAGTTTGATAATTATCAAATATTTAGATATAAGAGGTAATACTTCAAACAAAAATAAAATGCAAAAAACAACTATATTTTTTTTTTGTTTATTATTTTTTTATCTTACAAATAAAGTTTAACACACTTTTAAATTAATTTATCCTAAACTCAACTAAAAGCATAATAACACATAATATTATTTATAATTTATTTACTTAACAAGTGATTATGATAAAATGATCAATAATTATGTCACTGCAAAAGTGAATCATTGGTATTAACTATATTTTTGTATTTACATACACATAGGTTTGTACAAATTAATTACAATTTGAAAATAAATGCAAATGTGATATTATACTATTTTTTTTTTTTTTTTAATACAATTTAAAAATTCCAATAATTGAGTAGTCAAATAAATCAATTTATAAAAAAAACTCAGTTTTTAAAGGATGGAACAATATATAAATTAAATTATAACAATGTAGTTTTAAAATGCATAATTCTTATAGATACAGAAAGTATCAATAATTTAATATAGCAGTTGGTACAATTAACTAGAAAAAATAAAAATTTAATTTTTTTAAATTAAATTATTTATGGTCTAATGTAACATTTGCATTTTGTTATTATACAACAAATAATTAATACATAATAATATACATGTACACAATTTAATTATTAAGTATTAAAATATTATAGCAAATATTATATTACTAAATAGGATACTATAAAATTAATCAGTGGCAAGGCGTGATTTTAGCCAAAGGGATGTTGAAAAATTAAATAAATCAAGTACAATGGCAATTTTACTGATAGTTGATACACATATTTAGACAATATCGCACAAGAAATAAATAAACCGTAACTTAAAATTTAACCATAATACAATTTGTGGCAGTAGATGATACAGCATCGATAACTGAATTAATATGTTATAAAAAGAATTATTTAAAAATAAAATATAGCAAACTATGGACAGTGAGATATATGAAGTAGCACTTTAATAACCCCATCCGTTTTCTAATTTACCACACATGCCAAGACAACTGAACGAGACAAATTTGATATTATTTAATATTGTTAATTTATCTATTTTATTCAGATTTTAGATGTTTACTGGAGATTGATCCTATGTCACACGAACAACTGGTCTGTTTTAAGAATATTACAAGAAACTATTTTGACCAATGTATACATATTACATTAAAATTTTAAAAACAAAAAATATTTATTCAAATATAATAAAATCAAGTTCATTGATCATATTTTAAGTGGACATTGTCTTATGCGAAACTTTGCCACTGATAGAAAGCATGATTTGTTTTGAGTTGATGATTTTTTGTGGTGAGAACATTTTAATAGCTCTACACTATAAAAACAGATCATCCTGTTTAATATTATTATATTATTGTGATAATAAATTATGTCTATATATATATATATATATATTACATAGTTTACAAAATTATATCAATTAAACAATAAATGGTAAAAGTAATAGAAAATAATGGTATATCTTTGAATTTTATGAAAATTATAAATTAACTCATTGAAACATAAACAATGTAGTCAAGAGGTATAAATGCTAAAAAACAGTATAAATTACATGTATATTAAAAAAAAATTAAATTTGTTTAAAGAATTATAAAACCAGGAAATAGTTCTCTGTATATTATTTACTATTGTATAACATCATTGTATTTTATGGTATAAAATGTAAATTTATAAATTACATATATTACATTAGACATTATGACTATGTAAATTATAAATATTATAGAATACATTTGGCTCACAAATAAAGTGCAGGAAAATTACTTTACTACCATCAAACATAAAAAAACAATAATTTATTATTTAATAATTAAAACCACCACAAACTTAAACCTAAAAATACCTAAATATCTTTTATATATTAAACATTTTTGTTTAATGAGATAAAGTAAATTAAATCAAATCATCCTTTTAAAAGTGTATAAAATGTTTTAAAATATTATGATCATTATTTATCTATAAGTAATATTTAACAAAAGTAGGTCATAACTAGGGTTCAAGCTTGAATGTAATTATATATTTTTTTTTATTGATTAATGTGTTTGCTATGAGGTGAAAAGGTATATTAAAAATTGACTTTGTATATATTTAACAAAAAAAGGCAGATTTGACAAATCTAATTATTTTTAAACATGAAAAATCTCCAAATGTAATTAATAATAAATATTTTAATTGTATTTAATTATACATTTTTTATTCATTAATATAAAAAAAAAAATGTTTTGATAATATTAATGTTATTTATGTGTCAAATTTTTTAAGTGCAATACATACCAAACTCCAGTAATTATATAAGTTTTTTTATAAATATATCTATAAAATACCTGTTGTTAGTTCTAAAACTTAAAATTAAAATCCTGTTAAAATAATTTTTTATTAATTAAAATTTTAGTAATACCTTTAAAGTATTAGTAACTATTAAAACATACATAATGCTAATAAGTTAAAAAGTATATTAATTAGCCGTCAATTATCAAAATATATCAAGATCAAACAACATAACATACAGTAGAACTGTGAAATCATAATTTGTCTTAAAAAATTATAGATAATAAAACTTAAAGTAATATTTATTAAAAGGACGTTATACTTCGCATTTAGTTTTTGTCTTACAAACACATAATATGGAAAATTATTCATTCTAAATAATCTATTTAACTATTTAATATAACAGTGAATTATGAATATTAAAAAATGTACAAACAATTTAGACTTTTAAAATGATTATCACTAACTTTATAATAAAAATAAGCCTATGAAATTCAATAGTTTATATTCTTACTTTTAAATTTGATAATAGGTCAATTCACTTTAATATTAAACATGCCAGAGTTAAATGGATTACTCAGAATGAACGGGTTTCTATGCTATGTATTTCTAAGACGGACACTGCATGCAGGAGTAGTGTAATCTTAAAAGAAAAATTACTAAGTTGTTAAAAAAGAAAAAAAGATTAGCAAACAATAACAAAGAAAACTTGCTTAAAATTTGAATAATAGCTAGACAAAAAAATTAATTTATTATCACAGAAAATTAATTATATGAATCATCCAGAGTGGTTTCCAAATACTTAGATTTAACATAACAAAATCTATAAAATAAATATGTATTAAATATACAAAGTTATTCAAATCTTGCACGCCGTAAATAATGGTAATTGCTTACAAGCTAACAGGTAAAATATTTTTTTATTTTTAATAACTCTGTATACTAATATACAGTAGTTTATGTACTGTATATTCATACATATTTTAGATTTTAATAAAAAATAATAAAAAAACATAATTACCTAATATATGTTAAAGAATTTCAAAAACTTATTCGGCTTTTGATATGTTTAACATACATTAAAAATTCATAAACAAACTTTTTGGCATTCCAAACTTATAATTCACAATTACAAAACTCATTGATGCATTCTGTACTGAGAATTACGTTCTTTAACAGGAAGTGGATGAGCTTCTGAATTGAAAACCCATTTATCCAATGGAATTAAACTATCATCACTGAATAATAGGTATAAATACTAAAACATAATATTATATAAATAAATAAGATTATAATAATTTTATTTCGTCTAATTACTAATCAACATTACATACTTTTAGAGTTTCTGCAAAAAAGTAACTCTGTTGAACATCATCTTTGCTTGAATCTATTTGGTAAACATCTTTAATTCCACTGTATCCACCTGATACTCTACAGTGTTTTTCAAAAGCCTTAATAGAATAAAACCAAAATGTAAAAAACTATTTCGAAAACTGAGACTGATAATTAATTGTTAGCAAATGTTATGCTTGAGAAGTAAAATGATTCTTACTTGTACAGCTTCCCATCCCCATTCTCGATATTTATTGTCATGGGTTAATCGCCATAAAACAAAATATGACTCAATTGTTTCAGGCCGAAGAATATTGTATTTTTCATTGCCACGAACTGCAACTGCTTCATAATTATCGGTAAATCTAAAAGCTTCAGGTCCCAATTTTGTAGGTGTCTTATCATAAGCTACATGGCATGTTTCTGTTAAACTAGCTCCAAGATCAGTATAGTGTTTAGCCGCATCACTGCCAAGAGTTTCCCCAGCAAGTGCAAACATTCCACCTAAAATTACACATGCATAAAATAAAGTTTTTATTAGTTATTAACACTTTTAGCTCTTATCATAATAGTTCCTGTATTATTAATTGCTTAAGTTTAAATTATTATTGATTTAAAGACAGTTTAGTTCATAAAATTACATTTAGTAATAGAATTTAAAAATAATTTATTTTTAAAAATGTAATGGTAATTAGAGACTTAATCTAAAAAAAAGTAGTAATTCTTTAAAATTTTAATAAGACATTAAGAATTTCTACCAAAACTACTATAAAAAGATTTAACTGCACAACATCATAAAGCTAATTTTTTAATAAACAGATGTTAGGGATAAAAATAACTATACTTATTAGTCCTATTATATTTAATATTACTTGCCTGCAAAACACGATAAGTGATCCATTTTATGTTCAAGTCGATCAAAACGCATATCTGCTAAATATGTTAGGCCATTAGAAGATGTTTGTACTAGATTATCCATTACACTTGCCATGGCATCATCAAACATGTCTCGTGCTACTAAATCTTTACCATTAGATTGTATATATGCTTTCAACAAATATTCATAAAAACTATCACCAAGACCTCCAAGTGATACATGCCCTAAAATAATATGATGCAATTATAAATATGTAAATAATACGTTATGCATAGATAGATATGATAAATGTTAATTTCAAAACTTTTTAATTATATAGATAATATAATTAATAGTAACAATGCCTGAAAAAGTTGTAAGTATAACATTATGTACATATTATAAATAATAATAATAATTCAATAAACTATTTTAATTTAGCATACAACAATTTAATTTTTAACTCATTAATTTCAAAAGGAATTAGATAAATCTAAATTAATGACCATTTAAACATAATTTTATGTCAAGCATTTAGAATAAAATATTTTTATTTTATTATAACTTTTCTACAAATTAATTATATTTAATATGCATATTTATATATTTTTATAATGATATGAATTATTGAAGATAAAATTATTTTATAATATTGAAGAATACAAAAATACTTACGTTGTCCCCATTTTCCAGTAATTGGATTTAAGAAATTTGGATACAATCCATTAGGTCGATCAAGACTTCTTACAAATTGTCTAATAGTATCAACTTTTTGTCTATAAATGTCATTGCCAGTAATATCTGATAAGTACACAAATTCTAAATGTAGAGTTCCAAATTCTGATAGTATACTACTACCACCACTTGCCCATAAATAATTTTTGCTGTTCTAAATAAAACACCAAGAAAACTTTTATTATAAATTAGTAAAAATAATTTTATAGCTGCATCACTAAATTGATAAAGACTATGCTAAGGTTTGGAAGTTTTTGGACTAAAATCTACCAAAAAAAAACAAAAGTGTAAATTTCTATAAAACGAGCACAATTTATCATTTGAATTAATTTTTATCTTTTATATTTTTAATTAATTTTTACATTAGAATAATTTTAAAATAATTATATAAAAGATATAATGCAAAAAAATATTTTATCTGATACATCTATAAATAAATATAGCTTTTCTAAAGTAGAAAAAAAAGAAGAAGAGAAAAGTTTGAAATTTTGCTATTATAACTTTATTAATAAGGATTTATAAGGGTTTTATAAGGAAATCTAATATTATTTATTTCAGCTTCAAAAAATAATAAATGATTCATTAGTGTTCAAATTTAAAAACCAAATGTATAGAAATATTTATTTAGATAAGAATGCAAAAATAATTTAATACTTTAATTCTCTAAATTTAATATGATTCAAATTTTTAGTTCATAAAGATATTTTTTGGGCCATTCAGTAAAAACAACACAAACGCACAATTATTTATCTAATAATAATCACTGAAACAATATTTAAAATCAAATTATAGTTTATGCCAAATATATAAACTTAAAAATAACTAGAAATAGATCTTCAAAAAATTATTCCATTATTTTTAAGTGATTCTTCTTAAATCTTTCAGATACTTCTAAAAGTAAGATAAGATAAAAATTTTTAATGGAATTCAAATTACTTACAATAATTGAAGTGCAGATAAAAGGATGAATAATATTTTATTATTTTTAATATTTTATTCCCTATTTTTAATAAGCAAAATATTCTAAATATATATTATACAATTATACATGAAAATAATTATTATTGAATGGACTTATTTAAAAAGTAAAAAGTAACAAAAGTATAAGTAGATATATTTATTACAAAATGTAAATTTAAATTAGTCTATTCATAGTTAAAATTACAGTAAATATTTTTTTGATATAATAAATAAGATCTTAAACTATTACAAATCATGACCAACAATGTTCTTATTTAAATGTAAATAATTTAAATGAAATGTGAATTTTATAAAAACTAATGACAATATTATTATATCTATTTAAATTTTAATAGCTGAATTAAAACCTGAAATTCAAATATATTTTTGCAAATCTTTAATCTAATCAGGATGTTTTGTACTTTTATTATAATAATTTATTGTTGATTGTAAACTAATTAAGTTATAAATTATAACACAATATTTTATTGTGCTATGATAAAAATTTAAATAATAGACTCTATTATTTTATCCTATTCAGGATGCTTTTTATTTTTATTAACATAATTTATTTTTGGTTATAAATTATAATACAATACTATTTTATGTTGCAAAATAATTTAGATAAGAGTACTCAATATACAATTTCTACATTTTGGCATTAAAAATATTTTAATATATGGAATAAAATTGGAACTACCTATATTATAACTTATAAGTAAGGCTCAAAAAAAGTTAATGCATTTTTTTTTTTTAAAAATTCTTAGATGATGTTTTTTAAACTGAAAATGTGTTTCTTAGCATGTAAATCTAAATAACTAATTTTTATTAAGTTTCTACTAGTTGAACATGTTTGTTGCGAATCAAAAAAAAAGACCTAAAAATAGAAAATGTGAGATACAAATTTCACACACATATACAGTAATATACTCTAAACATCGCTGATGAAAAAAAAAAAAGAATAAATGTAATGTTGGCCAAATTAAAACTAATTGAAAACAATTGTATAAATAACGCCTCAACATTTCATCCCACATTGAATGTGTTAAAAAAAATTAATGAGTTTATTGAAAATCTAACTATTAAATCATATTATTCATCAAATAATAACCTACCTTGATATTATACTTTTACTGATTGATAATTGCTTCACTTTTTATCATATCTTACCATTGCTAAATTATTAAATAAATCTCTACATATTTTATGTTCTCAAGGAATAAAGCTTCTTAACAGATGTCACTGTCACTTTTTATATAATGATGATAGCTAGCAAAGATATAAAAATCATTTATTCTAAAATGGAAGACATAAATTATTTAGCTTATATATTACATAGGAAAGCAGAATAGATTCGAAAATACTTCTAACAGTTCTAACACTTCTTAAAAGTAGATAATTAATATTAAATAATATCAAAAAAATGTTTTTGAAACACCCATCACGTGTTTAATACTTCAAAGAAATGTCACCTAATTGTTCTTTAGCACAAAAAAACCTAACCTAACCAAATTGGGTACATAACTAAAAGCTGTTACTTATTTTTGTAAACATTTTATAAATTAAAAAAAATTTGTTATTTTTATTAATTTTAAGTCATTATTTGTAATTGTTTAATTGTTTTGAGGCCATTAAATTTTGAGCCCTACTTATAAGTATGCTAACAAGGTATAATATTAATTTAAGTAAACGAAAATCTTTAAATATAATACAAAACCAAATGGTTTTGGATAAAAATTTGAAAAAAAAGCCTTAAAAATTATTATTGCAGTCTTGTAAGCTAGTCATAAATATAAAAACGATACTTACCCCTGATTTTAGATTGACTAATGAATATGGGATTCCAGTTGGAGTTTGAAATGCAGGTAATAATTTTTTTGCAATATATTCAGCTTTATCACGGAAAACAGTATCACCAGTCATAGCAAAACACGTAAGAAAACCACCAATAAAACGGATATTTGTTTCAAAAACTGATATATCTATTTTCTGTAAAAAAAATAAATAATATCCTATAAATTAATACAAATTTTTATGTACACATGGTATGAGTGAAAAAGAAAAATATTAATATACACAAACTAATATACTAAATACACATATTTAATAGCTCCAATTCTTAAAATTTGAGTATATATTTTATCAAAATTTTAATATGAATATAATTTGCAGGTTTTTCCTAATGTTATCCATTTTTTTTTTTATAAAAAATTTGGTAAGATATCAAAATATCAGGACAAATTATAAGTATTAACTTGAATTTAGTAAACTTAATTTTTGACATTCATTAATAATATATAATGCAGTATTGCATTATACAATAATTATTAAATAAATGGAATATTTTACTAATAAAAAACATAAATGTTTAAAAAATGTATATGAGGGTTTATATAAAAACAATAGTTACTAGTAAATTAGTTGAATAAAAGAAATAAAACTAACCAAAAGCATTTACTTACCACATTTTCTAAAGTAAAATTATTTGCAACCCAATCTCTTCCAAGTTTATACTCATCATGTAAACCCATGATTAATAATGTGTCTAATGAATCAACAATAGTTGCACCCATACTTGCTGAGCCAAATACACTTCCAGAATGATCTCTTTTTGATACTGGTTTTAATTCATTTTTACCCCATGCATATTTAACATAATTATCCCAGCCATGTTTCATCATCTAAATAAAACATAAATAAGAGTAAATATGTAATTATAAGCCAAATAAAACACATTATTAAACATAAAAAATATATTTTAAAGACTAATAAATAATGTTTAAATATAACATATTATATTCCCTTAGTCATTTTACAAACTTTATCTTAAACAATTTACAAAAAGAAAAATATTTGGATATAAATCAATCAATAAATTAATGTTATCATACTTAAAATTATCATTATTACTAATAATAGTTAAAACAATCATATTATAATTGTATATTTATCTTTTAATATTAAGTACCTATAATAATATACATGATTAATACTAATACCCCTTAAGAATGGTAAAAAAAAAAACATAAAATATTAAAAGTAAAACTCATTTTTAAAGATTTGTAAGTCATTTTTACATTTTATTTAGCATATTAATACCCTAAATACATTTTACCTAAATAAGAATAATTGAGAATTTTTTATTAGATATTAAAAGTCCAACTAAATACTATCTTAGCAACTTCGAATTTTATATTATTTTTTAATTAGGTAATTGAGTGAATTATTATCTAGTAATACATTCTTTACATTCGATAATTACAAAGACAATTACACAAATAAATAAATCAGTCAAAATACAAGACTTTTCTTTATAATATTTACATCTCCATTATTTAATCAGCCTAGAGACAAATGTACATCTACCTCTAAGTGCTACAATTTAAGATATGGGAGCCTAGATGTAGGTTAAATTTTATATATATTAATAGTTTAATGTCAATATTTTGGAGACACTCTCATAAAATGAAGAGGTCTTTTGGAAAGTTTAATGCATTCTAGCATCTCTACTAGTTGTGGCACTGCTCACACATATTATCCAAAATGTAATTTTTGACAATTTGCTTGTTTTTATATAATATTAACTTATGCATTTAATTATTTTAATTAAGTATTTAATAATATGTATTTACAAGAGCTAAGTATTTTGCAAGTATAAAAAGTACTCACTTCTTTAACTTTGTTTCGTCTTTGTCTCAATTCAGACATCTCATTAGTTTGACTAGTTTCAATGTGTTCAACATTTACTACAGGTTCAGAGATGAAACTATTGTTAATTATGTGTTGTTTTATAGTATTTCCCGTGTCTGGTCTTTCTAACACTTTTCGTTTGTCCGAATAATCCTCATCGATTTTGGCCTCCAATGCTTGTTTGTCCCATGCTGCGTGCGGGTCTTCCAGTACTCCATCGTGCCTTGAGTTACCATGAGCCGGCAACAACAGTTCGGGCCCTGCATTCTGTATATGCTTGTAAACGTTGTTAAAAGTGCCACCATAAGACGCCTTAAACTCAGGTAAATAGAACAAGGCTCCAAAGCAGATGATGGTCATGGAGATGAATACCAGTACGACCAGACACAGTTCGCTGTTCCTCCGGGTCCGCCTGCTGAACGGCACTGGTGCGCCATTGAGATATTTGTGGTACTGAGGAAGCAGCAAAGTCGAGTTCGTCATTGTTAAATTCGTCGCGGACATGCACTTTCACATAATAACAACAACAATAATAATGATTATCGCGACCTAGTGCTGGACACATTCAATTTTAAGCATAATAATATGATCAGCGTTGGGCCTCTTCCGCGGAGAGAAGCGGAATTGAATTATTTTTGAAATTTTTTCGCGATTAATTATTACAGCTATGTACCTATTAATAAACGATACTCGGCCCGTTATTGACGACGAGTGATGACGGCCGTAGTTGTAGCACGTTCACACTCCACCTACCAACTAAATAGCTGTACAACATAGGTAAACTGGTAAAACGAAACTGCTGCCTCGACTAATGAGCCAGTTATCAGTATGGGTTCGATACAGATCATCACCTGTCCTCTCCTCTACCAACCAAAACAACACTGTTATCATTTATCACTGCAAGTCCTGCATCAGCCAAACAGTCATCGTGATATTTAAATTTTTTCGGTACGATTACAATCGCCGTTCCCGGGAGGTTTCTTTTTTTTTTTTAGTAATAATAATAATCAACCTTGAATGGAATAACGTTTAAAATAGAATTTTATTATTACAGAACATTTGAACCATTTTAGAATCACCATCCAATGTCCGCAGAACAATGCTCCATTACTGCCCAATTACAGATGTTAAACTATATTATTGTTGTTGTCCTATTGTTAATAATTGTTATTCTAATATTATGCAATTAAATTATTTATTATTAACGTGTCGTACACGATAGTTTAAATAAGTAGTAACTAAATATTGTTGTTTAACGTTTGACTGGTTGTTATAAAATAAAATTTGATAATCTCTTACGGGAGGTTTGGAGAAATTAGGGGGGGGGGTAGAGCGAGATATTGGTAAATCATTTTCAATTTTCAATATTCCCATAATCCTCAAAAATATAGCACGCGTAGTATTTTATTAATATCTCAGTAATTTCTACCTCCTACAGGTTCTATTCAATAAGAATAGAAAGTCAATACACTTTAGCTAGTATACAATTTATATTTTATTCGAATTAAACGTTGATTAACTGTCATTTATAATTTATATTTTAAGAACAAATATTTCGATTATTCAACTATGTTAACTGTTTAGTACAGTAGAGTAGGGCATAGCCGCATAGGCGTAACAAGTAGGTGGCATAAACATATGATTAAGATAAAACTATTGTTATTGGGTGTGGGAGTACGATGAGAATGTTTTCTTATACAATTAAATTTAGAATTAAACACGATAATTAAAAATTATTTAACCAAGTCTCTTCGCCCATTGTAACCTTGTAAGCATCCGAGTGGTCGGCATTCGGCGTGCCGAACACCGGAAGTCGAAAAACAAAACTAGAATAGTTCTGACTAAAAATAAACGATACGTTTTGCACCTATTTTCGCCATTATATACTACTGGATAACGACACGCCTACGGACTACAATCTAAAACTGTACACAACATATTATCGGGACCGGACCGAGTCAAAAATTTCTACTGGGAAAATAAAAAAAATCGGCTCAATTAGGAAAACCTATAAAAACCACCTTAAAAAAAAAACATATATTTTCATATAAAACGATAGTATATTATTTTGAGAATTTAAACCCTTAAAATACTTATTAAAAATAAAAATTGATTGATACAAAGAAATGTTATGATTTTATTTAAAAATCATATGTTTAGACTCGAAAATACACATTAATACATATTAAGCTGTTAGTTAAGGTTTGAGCTCTTTTACGAATTTTTGTCGATTATGCCTTAACAGATAAACCTAAAACAAAGTCTCTACATGTACAACCGGCCCACCGGGAAACTCAAGGTATCTCATTTACCCAGTCCGGCCCTGCAGCATATACACACATTTTTAGGAACACGTCATGAAAATAGTGAATAACTTATTGTTGATTATTTGGTATACATATTGTTTGGTTTTTTAATGGATACAACAATAAGGCGTTCAACAAAATATTATAATGATAACAGTCGATATTCAATAATAAGTTATAGATGGTGTAACAGTGTAAGACTTTTCATAATATATTTACTCATATTTTTCATTTTGATTTTTTTTTTTTTTTTTTTTTAATTGACTTATAAGATACGGTATTTTAAGGGATGAAATTAAGTTCTTAGTATCTATTGATTTTTGAGGATACGGTCTTAAAGCTTGCAGATTTATTTTAATTTATTGTTAAAGTGTTAGTTATTTGCGTTTTCCAAATCTGAGTATATTAAGGTAGGTATTCACAGTAAATTGGCATTTTGCGGTGATATTAAAACGATAGCTAGTGTGTTTCTTGGTCAACTCATTTATTTCCGGGAATTCCTATATGCCTCGGAATCCATATTATTTTAATTTGTTTCCCTTTTTTCTTGATATGAAGCAGGGTTTTTTTAATGTGTAATAAGACACATTTTGTGCAGTGAGAAAAGTAATTGTGCAATAAAAATTGTTACATAATGCAGTGCAAAAAAAAATCAGGGGATATCCGATATTTATTGTATATTATAAAACAATAATAATTATAAAAAACTAAAAAGTAACAAATTAAAAACTTTTGAAAGAGCAAAAATACTAATAGAAACAGAAAACTATTATTTATATATTCACTATAATATGCTAGCATTAGTTAATTGGGATGTAAGAAAAGTGATTATATATTTTATGAATATGAAAGAAAGAAAGAATATTAATAGACCAAGAGGAAAATCACAGAACTATTTTAAAATCAGATCCAGTGACTTCTGAGAGCGATATCGAAATAGAGACCAAGCCTGAAACAACCAGCGAATTGATAAAAAAAAGCTTTAAAATTAAAAATTGTTAGTACCTATTATTCATTATTATACTATTATTTGATGTAAAAGTTAACACAAAAATTAAAAAGAAGTTACCAATCAACTGATTGTATTTTATTTTTATAAATTTTTATAGACAATTATTATTATAATTTACCTATTTACTATTCCGAGTAAATATTACTTAGCAAGTATTATTACTTATATTTATAAACAATATTTTAAAATCATTATTTACAATAAAAATAGCGCACGATAAACGATTTATTTGATATATCATGGATAGAGTTCGAATTTCAATCAGTTATATGTTATTAGTTTATTATAAATATACACTGTTATTGCTAAGTCGGAAACGTAACACATTTTATTATCAATTATAATATTAAATATTAATTCTCTACACAGGCTATGTTTAAAGAAGATAGGTAATACACTTAATGTTCACTAAAAAACTAATATTAATTTAGATAATTGCAATATATTTACCAATTTATACATAAATACTGCAACCCAGTCAGTATTTATACAAATATTATATTTTAATATACGTAGATATGAATCCGAATTACGTGTTTTATACGAATGATCAATAGGAATTCGGTGTTTTATTAATATAATTTACGAGTAATACTAGGTACTAACTAGTTCAAAAGATAACTATTTCACTAAGATTAATCACATAAAACGCGTATGAACAATTTGTATATTTTACGTATATGCTACGTGTATTTACTACAAATATTTAACTATTTAAGGATTTATTTGGTTAATGTTTCGTTTAAAGGCGAAGGCTACAGACGATAGCAGGGTAGCAATAGGTACCTAGCATCAGCCATCCATCGTTCCTTAAAATGTCATTTTAAGTTTATTACACATTTTTCTAAATAATACCATAATATTTATTATTTAACATAGAATATGAACAGTAAACACCTGAGACGTGTGTGTGAATTACGATTAGTAGTTGTTAATTGTCATAACTTATAAGTTATAACTTTATAAGAATAAACAATATAATAAAAATATACCATGTGTTATATACATAGACCTTACAAGATCTATGGCTATATGCCTATATATATATAAAAGTATAAACTATAAACATCTATAATTTTTTATCTATGACCATGACACAATAATAGTGATTACGAATTATCTAGTTTAATTATTATTTGCACAATAATCATAAAACAATCATAAAATATATAGTATACACATAATAATAAATTTGTAATTTTACAAGCTGTGTAATTTATAATTGGTCATGGTTTAAAATATTGTAAGTGCTTTCCAAAAATCATGAATTTTTGGTAAACCGAGTAAAAGTAGCAAGTATAAATGTAGCATTGTAGATACAATTTGTAACACAGAAATCTGAAATACAGAATAATGCACTAACCAAAGAAAAAAAATAATATAAAATGTAGCAAGTAGCAACTGATGAGATCGCGGCGTGCCCGTGGTCGTTTGATCTACATTCTACATTAATCGTTTTTCTGGACTCTGGAGGATGGTCCTTAGATCTTAGGTCCTAAATCGTATTCGATTGTCAACGATAGTATGATTTAAACATTTTAAACGTATCATTAGTGTATCGTACGTCCATGTCCATACACGTAACTTCTTTAATCACCAACTGATATCAAATATCAATATTATCAACGAGCAAATTAATGTATTCGGCATTCCGATACGGCGATACGCATCGATACCCTCCAATTTTTTCATTGAAAATCTTGAGGGTTCTGTTGTTGCTGTTATCTATGTAACTATTTTTGATAATGATAACATGGTTTATAATTTACAAAACAATAAAGCGTGCAATTTAAAAAATTTACTAGTTTCAACAAGTATAATTTGTAATAGAATATCTATTTGAATTTAATTACTAAATACATTAATAGTTTTGTCTGTTTTCATAGTTAAAAGTTCTGTTCATTCTATAAGAAAAAAGTGCTATACACCTCAAGCTGCTCAATATATATTGTTAAATTTAACTTTGTAAATACAACATGCAACTTATCATTTATTTTAATTCTTGATTATTTAACACAGTTATTTTTAATTCGAATACATCTAATTTGTTTTAGGTTTCTTTTAAATATCTATCATGGATTGGATGTATGATGGTACACAAGTACAGAAAGACGATTATCTTTTGGGGAAGAAAATAGACAAAAAATTTGGTGAAAGCACAGATAATGGTAATTATCAATAGAATAGTTGCACATACTATAGTTTAAATATTATTGTTATTTAGATTATATATAGTAAAATTCGTTCAAGATGTTTTTCTGCATAAGGTAATGTTTTTGTTGGTGCTTAGACAATTTCTGTATTAGTGAATAAAAAAATAACCTGTTAAGACGCTTAATTTTTTTGATTTTTTCTCAATTTAATTGAATAAGATGCTCTTTTATACAGCAGATAACAATAAAATTTATTGATGAAATTATTGTGAAATAATAAAAATAAGAATTAATAAGAAATGTTGTGTTGTGTTAACAAAATAAGAAACTTTCTTGCTAAAATTCATTCTTAAAATCTCAAGATATCAAAAATTGATATTTTTATTAATAAAAATTAAAACTAATAAAATACTTTGAATAATATTAATTAAAATATATGTGTATAAATATATATATTTTTAAATTCAATTCAATAGAAAAAATAATAATTATGATTAATTTATCAATGTATTACTTACTATACATTAAGATAATTTCAATTTTGTTTAAATCAACAAATAATATATAACAAATAAATAGTTTTTGGTCACTATTTTTCTTATTCTTTTAAATCAAATTTAATTAATATAAGTACTAATCAATATATTTTAATTTAATTGCTATTCAAATCCTATTAAATATTGTTCATTTTAAATTTATTTTAAATTTTAATATACTCATTATAATATATTGCAATTTTTAACTTATATTCATAATGTATAATTATTTATTGTACTTATGCTTTATAGATTCAATTTTACCACCAAAAATATGCGCAACAGATAAATTTTCTCAAGTAGATTTGACAAAAAAAATTTTAGAAGATCCATTAGTGAATATAAAAAAACGTGAAATTGAAGTTACACAAAAAATTCTTCAAAATCCAATGCGCTTGAAAAAACAACAAAATATTCAAAAAGAAAAACATACCATTGATGATCATCAGCTAGATATGATATTAGTTAGCCGTTTGAAATCATACGAAAAAGCTGGATTAGATCTTGCAAAAATACTGTCAATTACGAAACATAAAGAAAAAAAAGAACATAAAAGAAAACACAAAACAGAAAAGTCTAGTTCTGAAGAAGATGAAAAAAATGCCAATCGTGAAAAATTAACAAACAAGAAAAAAAGACATATGCAAAGGTCTGGTAGTTTTGAACGAGAGAACAAGCAAAAAGAAAAAAAAAAAAGGGAAAGAAAGACATCAATTTCATCTTCAGATGATAAAGATTCTTCTAAGAAAAATAAATTAACAAAAGAATATAAACATCATAAGAATGATAACCAAAAAAATAAAGATCAACATAGAAAACATAGATTAGTAAGTACAGATAATAGAGACAATAATTTTCAAGATTATAAAAATAAAAGAAATGAACGTAACAGATCTATTTCAGAAGAAAATTATGAACAAAATGATAAGATTTCAAAAAATAAATTTAAAAATAATCATTATGACAATGGCGATAATAAAAAGTATGGCAATGATATGAAAAAATATGGAAAATACAAAGAGCAAGAATCTAAAAGTAGAGAAAAAAGACATGATAATAAAAAGAAACAAACATTAAGTTCAGACAGAGAACTGGAACGGAAAAAACCAAATAATACTACTGAACATGGAAAACATAGTTCTAAAGTTAATGACAACTACCACAGATCAAACAGTTCTGATAAAGAATACGAGTCAAAGGTTTCTAAAGATTCAATAAACAGGCATAAACATCATAAAAATTTGAATAGTCGAAGAAGTAGATCATTAGAGAGTCTTCCAAAAAGGAACAAACATCACAAAACAAATGAAATTAAAAAAGGTAAACATCGACAAAAGTCCAGTTGTTCATCTAGTTCAGATGACGAAAGAAAAAATAATAGTGCAGTAAAGCAGATCTCCAAACATCGACATAGTCCAGAATTTCAATCAGATAGTGATAAAGATGAAGACAAAGGAAACAAGAACTATGGATTATATGTAAGAAACAAATTTATTAAATTGATAAAATCCTTCAGTATTAAAGAAGTATTATAATAGCTGAGATAAAATGTTTTATATATCAAATATAAGTATGGATTATACATCATTAAAACAATCAAAATAAATCTATAGTAAAAAAAAAATAAATACATTTTTTACCAATTATTTTAAGTTCTGAATCATAAATTATGAAATAACAAATTATTTTTAAAACCACTTAATTCTAATAATTTCAAATGGTTATTGTCTTTTAGTATTAGAATATTTTAAAATAATTACATGGGCTTTTAACTTCACTGTTAAAACTAAAATATTTTAATTAATTATATAATCTTAATACTAAACTAGACCTACAGCCCCTAATCTGTACTGTAATAAAATAAATAACTAAATAAAAATCAATTATTTAATAGGTTCCTAATGGTAAAATTGTAAGAAAATCATCTTTTAGTCCGACACCTATAAAAGAAAAAAAAAATTCAAATACAGTTCGACCCAAATCACCAATTGCTAAGAAAAGGAAATTGACTGAAAAAGAAATGGAGGAAATGAGATTAGAAATGATGGAAAATGCCAAAATTAGAGATAAAGAACGTTCTTCTAATGTAAAACGTTATAGAAAAGAAGATAAAAAAGAGGAAGAAAAACAAAAACCATATAATAAAGAGTTTTTAATGTAAGTACCCATCTAAGCAGTACTTTAAATATTCTAAATAATTAACTCATTAAATATATTTTTAGTAAACAATTGGCACATGCAGCATCACAAGTCAGTGTTGAAAGAAGTATCAAGTCAAATGTCAATAAACTACAAAAGAATAGTAATAGTATTGCTGATTAATCTTGTATATTTCAGTATTTGTATATAAAGTATCAATACTGTTTTTTTTTTTTTTTTTTTTTTTAATAACATTTTATTGAGATCATTATAATTGTACATTTAATGCATTTTTATATAATGATTAAATTATGTTTTTTTTTTTTAAATTATTTACTTTATTTATAATATGCTATTGTTAATGCCCATTAAAGTTAATTTGATTTATTTATTTTGCATCCACCTAATGAGAATTAAAAATAAATGTATATATATCTAACTCTCAAATTAACTTAAAAGGATGTCTGCACTATTTTTTTTTCTCTGAGTCATGTGCAGTGTAGCAAATTTACGTTCATCAAAACAAATCTTGTGATGTTTAGCTTTGATCTTAGAGTAAATTAAACTATTATTAAACTTAAAGTGCAGAACATTATAATTTATTTAAATGTTAAATTTTTTATAATGTTTTAATTTTTTTATGACAGGAGTTTAATCATATTGTAACATTTTATATATTATGATTTAAATGAAAATTCAAATATTGTAAAAACAATTTACATAAAAGTATGGGTAATTTTCTGTTAAGTTTGATAATAATTAATAAGTAATAGCTTCATTCTTTTTATTGACTCGAAAATATAAAATATTATAATTCTATAATATACATATAATTCACTTCAATATTAAAGCTAATAAGTAATAACATAATTAATTTTATATGATACAAATTTTGTGGTGAATGGTTAGACAGAGAAAACAAATTATCTGTTGACATCTTATAGGCTCTAATGTGCATTAATGATTGGATCTAAATAAAGTAATAGTTTCTATAAAATTTAATTATTTAAATTATAAATATGCCTCACATTTGAATGACAATTATTATTATGTTCTGTGTATTTTTAAGTAATTATCACACATTGTGTCTATTAATATTAGAAAAATCTCAGTGAGTAAAAAAAAATATATTATTTATGATTAAAAACAAAATTTATCATTTCATTATACTATTTAAAATTTAAATAATATTACTCATGTTATCGTATTTTATAAAATTACTATGAAAATTAACGTACAAATTAAAATACAATTTTTAAAATTATTAATATTTATATTCACATTTAAATGGGATTTAAAAAAGTAATTTCAAATTATCAAAATTGGTTCATATTTATTTTGGTTTCCCACAACTATTTTGCAAAAATAATATTCATGAAAAATATTCAAAATTATGTGATATTATGTATATAAGTAATAACACCATTTTAAGATATTAGGTTAAAAAGTGTTCACTATTCTTGATCTTTTTTTGTACCTACTTATTATAAAGTTTTATAATGTAATATGATGAAATAATTGGAATGTACCTATATACATTTTAGTCTAGGGAAGTGCCAATTTTTAATATTTTATTTTACCTATTTTTGATTACTTTTTTTCTCTTGAACTGAACATTGTGACTTGAGAGAACAACTTTTGCATTATTTTCACAACTATGCAATAGATAAATATTAAATATATACCCACATTGCACCGGAATTCATAAATTGTTGTTGATAAAACATAATTTCTGAATATGTATCAGGCGCACAACCAGAATTTTTGTTTGGGGGGGAGGGGGGCTTAAATATTTTTCTACTTTCCTTACATACAAGTAAACAATTAAAAGTAATTTTAAATAATTATTTATTTTTTTATTATTACCACATAGTTTATTAAACATAATAAATATAATAATTCATAATTATTATACTATATTTGGCTATTATTTGCTATAACAATGTATAATTTAATGTAAAAATATTTATTTTTTTTTGGAGGGGGCTTAAGCCCCAAAGCTCCCCCCCTGAGTACGCCATTGATATGTATGAAATACATTTCATTTTAAAATGTGGTCTCCAGCTAAAATTAGTACCTAGCTGCTAATTATGGCTTTTTCCAATGACTAAGATTTAAAACATACAACATATTGAGCTATAAATGAGTAGACTTGTACTCTTGTACAAACATTGTATTAATATGAGTTAAAGTAGGTAGTTTAATAGTACCTACCTACATATTACTATTACTGATAGAAATGTAAACAACTGACATAATATCTGTTCTGTCCTTCAAACTAGTGACTACAGTGTGAAGTGTGTTAAACATGTTATGTCGTTTATCACAATAAATGGATGATTGACTAATATTGGTTTCTCTACGTGTTACAAATCGTAACGTGAGGTATCATTAGTTTTGCTTGTAAACATTTTCATGACAACTTGACTAGTATGACGGGTGGATTTGACAATTAGCCGCCCTTGTCATAAGAAAAATCACTTCTGTATAACAAAATTTCTTTACATGGTTACATTTTCTATATATACTGCAATTATTTTTTCATTAAATTCGAGTTTAATAAAAACGTTTTCATTTAAACATAAATATTATTTTGCTATGATATATAATTAAACGATAACAATTTTAAAATTGAAAAATTCAAGAAAAAAATTAATTACCTATTTTTCTATGCACTATGAACAAAATAAATATTAAATATAATTTTGATGTACATATATAAAAAATGAATGTGCTGCTCTACGCGGCCGCATAGTTCGTAGTGCCTTAAATCTGCCATCGACTAGGATTGCAATCAACATTCGAACTGTTTAATAACCGATAAGTGAGGTTACTACTTACTTCATGTATAATTAATTTAGAATTAAAGATTTCATACTCTAAAAATCTTTAAAACATGTATGCATTTATGCACTTAAAAATTATAATGGGTATGCTTTTAAAGTATGCAGACATGCTAAAATATGTTCTTAAAAATATTTTGTTTTTCATAAAAAAATAAAAACTATAAATTTATTTATTATTAAATAAAACGTTTTTAATTTAATTTTCACTACAAAAAATGTTTACTTATTCTAAAATATTATACTAACTGTATTAATGCCAGACGAAAACACTATGTTACTGAATACTGACAAAGGAATTGACATCAAGTCATCAACTGACCGTATTCAGCGTACCGGCCGTACCGCGTACACATATTTCTTATCGACTCACTATGTTTTTCACAACACACAAATAATTGGGAAAACACACGGTAGTTGGATTATTTAATTATTTATATTTAATCATTTTAATCTATTTTTTTTCAATTTTTAGAAAATTATATTAAATATTGTATAGTATATACATATAAAATATTATTATTAGTGTCATGAATTGTTTGCATTTTTTTTTTTTAAATAATAAAATATGTGAAATATGTAGGTATTTAAAATACATAAGTATATAATGAAATATGTACTTTAAAGGGAAACAAATAGCTGAATATGCAAAGTTTGCTAACTAATTATGCAAAATAAAAATTATTGCTTTAAACTTCTAGTACTAAGAAACAAATTTCTATATTACTATTAGTTATGTTTTGAATGATTATTGAAAACATGCAAACTCTTCTTTAAGTCCCTAGCCTTAATTTTTATAGTTTATCTGTTAATCTTAGATGTCTATTAGGTATGTTTAATAGATTTTTTTCAATACATTTTGTGTAACTATATAATATAATACAATTAATTATTATTATGATTTAGGTATGTATGTTGTATAGGTAATACAAGATCCTTTAGTGGCGTATTTGAAATTCACAATAATCGCCTTTCCTTAATTTAAGCGATTTAATTCACCTCAATACATTGTGAGGGGCCTTTTGAGCTTTAAAGGTTTGTTTTAGTTTCTGCAGTAAAAAATAAAAGGCGTTTTACTGTTATTAAAGGTATGCCAATAGTTTGAAAAAATACTGGCGTTTACTATCTATTTTCTTTATTATTAAAATAAAGTAAATAAAAATGTAATAACTTTTTTTTTTTTCAAAGACTTTAAGTAGATACCTAATTTTAAAGATTTATTATTTTTATTTTCAAATTGATTTATGATTTCGTAAATTTTCATTTTAATATTTGTGTGTTTATTATTAATTAATTACGCCAATCTCTTTGGTTGGCATGAATATGATTTGATATCGCTTTTTTGAAACTCTAATAATAACAAATTGTTAACACCTACGCTTAAAGATAAGTTATTTATGAAAACAGCACTGTTTGTAAATAAATCCAATGATGATCGTCCACCCATTATGGCAGCTCCTCTTCCCATCCATATAAATGCTATTGAGTTTCCATATTTCAAGTACAACTTAAGCTTTTTAAAACTTAGGCTATTAATTTTATTTTAAAATTTTGTATTTTTTAAGAATATGATCACCTTTTTATTATTGTTACTATTGCGTTGTACGTATCCACTTTTGCATACTTTTAGTATCTATTTATTTAACAAGCATATAACAATTTTTTTTTATTCTTTATTTATTTATTTATTTATTTTTTTTTTTGGGAGGTGGGTTAGGACATATGTTATAAATTCTTTTACTTATATAACAAGAAGTTTATTGTCAGAAACCACTTTTATTTCACGAAAACATTATTTAATAATTTCCCTCAATTTTGGGCGAGAGAGCGGAATTGAACTTCTTAACCCATCTTCTTGTGTATGCGTTTAGTACTTACATAAGTGACAAGTATACAGATTGTGAAATAATAAATAAATAAAACTAATAAAAAGTTTTAAAACAACTTGAGTATTGATTGCAGTGAATTGACTAAAATGACGCATTATGTAATTGACTTGTGTATTTAGGTAGATACAGGTATAAGCAATTATCGATCAATACAATTGATTTAAATTGTTGAAAAAAAGTACCTATCCAACATTATTAATGTACAACTTATTTATAAAATATATAATTAATTATTTATGATGGGCGTATAGATTATATGTCCAAATATGCAGTAATAGGTAAAACTGTTACATGATTTGAAATAATTTATTCATCATGTCTATTATGATTTATGATAATATATGTAATCAGATGCGTATTATCATTACTCAATAAAAAATATTTGATCAAACGAAAATCTGTTCCTTGGCCGTACTAAGTATAAAATAGATAGAACGATAGAATGTAAACGACGATTGAATATCTGCTTGAAATGTGTGTTTACATTTTAT